AATTTACAACCTTTTCGTTCGCGGCAACTATGTTAGTTTATTTTAGATTTCCAGTTATTTGCCTGAACTACAGTCTGCCCTAACAGAAAGCATTATTATAGAATTATGTAACGCTTATAATTTTTAACTTTGGTATATAGGAAATAATTGCAGTAAGACATTTCTAAGAAAACTCATTGTTTATATAATATTAAAAATTGTCAAAATGAACACCTTATTCTAGTTTCCCAGTTATTTGCCTGTACTCCAAACTAACTACAAACTTCAAACTTGAGATGTTGGCAGTTGATTAATTTCATGATCCAATTAAGGTTTTAAAAATATAGATATGAATTGAATCGCAATTAATAGCTAGTTAGGTCTAGGAGGAGGATATTCCCTGTTTAATTAGACCTATTCCCAATTGCAAAATAAACTCGTTTCATCAACCTTGCCGTGTTAATTATTAACTCTTATTATTTTTTCTTTTGCATTGTTATATATATATAATTGCTATTCATGTATTTACAATGTATATTTCGGACGCTTGGACCTATGTGACTTCTTCGATACAAAAAGTTCCCTCGGGAATGTGTGCGATATTGCGGGCTACTCGATTGTGAGGAAGTTTCATCGATCTGGTTAGCGCTGCGCCTTTCTAAATTCTCATGTGATTTTCACATGTGTATATCCTTTTTCTAACATATTTTTATAAGTGATTGATTGTCCTCATTTTAACATGTGGTGATGTTTGAGAGCATAAATAATAAATTGTGCGTGTACTAGGTGTACACACGTAAGAAGTGAAACTTCTTTATGATCCTATTTTTCGAAAAATGATCTACTATATGCAACTTTACAGAAATTCGTTAAATTAGATAAAGTTTAACAAAAGGCTTTTATTATCATAGACATGAATACAAATATTTCATTTTACCTTATTACTACGAAGATTATTATAGAATTTCATTAATTGTAATAGAATTATTACTATCATTGAAAAACGTGACGATTTGCTACAAAATTTCTCCCATACGTCGATAAAGAAGTTTCATTACAACGCCGATAAAGAAGTTTGACTTCAATAAACTAAATACGTAAAACAAATCTTTTTAAAGCAACAAATAACTATTACATAACATTGCCTGCATTGGACGTAGTTATCCAATTAGAAGGTATCCATTTCATTACGAGTAGTCTCATGTGGTTTGATGAATGGCCCTTGAAGATCATCATAACATGAGAAATGTCTGCGTACAAAGCTCCCCTAGAGAAAGTTGTTATTTTAATTAATAATAATTCCGTAGATTGTGTTATACCTATAAAATCTGTTCATAATAGAATTAACATCGTTTTTAAACAAAAGAAGACCAGAAAGACTAAAGATTTGTCTTTCTGACATTTGATAATAATTAACTGAAACGCAATATTTGTCAAAGTTTACACGACATATATACAACTGTTCATTTTCGTTCTACAAATTTCTAATAACGTACTTACATCCATTATTTTATGATATGTAGGTACATAAATTTCAAATTCTACCCTTTTTTTACTATATAGTAATTTTTTGCTGCATCATTGTTATTAGCATCTTAACAGATCACAAGCGATTGGATGAGACAAGGAATGATTTACTGCGCAAATCGTCTCAGTTCGTAAATAACTTTTAAATAGTCTCGCAAACCAGACGAATAGTGGGCAAACGAAGGTTAAATTATATACTGTTTGTTTAGATGTTTCCTGGAAATCCAGACTGAAATAGGCATTTCTCGCACGTTCCCGATACTCTTGCCAATATCACGATGTTTATAAACAACGCTGGTTAGCTTTTATAGCACGCGACTATATATATATATATATGTTGTTCGAAAAGTTTCACTTTCCCAATCACTAATGATTGGTACATAGGTTTCTTCCATCTATGTTTGCCATAGTCATTTTGTATGATGATTTGATATTTTAAAAGAATACCGAGGGCTTTTAGACTCAGCCTGTACGTGGAATAAGAGTGATACCTGTACCTTAAATTGCATAATAAACATGTTTTTTTTCTCATGACTATGACCATGACATACATTCAGGATTTAAGGAAGAGCAAGCTACCACGCTTGAACCGTCTGTGTCGTTGATTTTCTAGTTCTAGTCCAGTTCAATTTCTGCGAAAAAGTATCATTTGGTTTGACCAAAATTGCTCCTAAAAACACCCACAGCAGTGTGTCGTTTCTTCTATATATTTTTAGACTTTAGAAAATTCTCGGGTTTTATCTGAATTTATATTCACATTTTATCTGAATTCTACATAGACGCTACTGTACAATGATATGCAGTGAGCAGCTGCGATCCATTTACAATTCCGTATGCAAGCACGCACGCCATAAATTCAAATGTGGCTACAAACCGCAATTAGCATTGACTCTGTGGAACTTTTTATATTGCGATCGTTGACGTAATGCAATTCTCAATGCATAATATTTTGTACCGACTTTACGAAGGCAGGTTCTGTATTCGACTCTTAGGTCCAGATCTAAAACGTTACGAATCTAATTTAGGTAGGAATAGCTTTGCATATTTTAAGATTTCGAGATCATATCTTCCAACACATATATTTATTGTTCTAAATACGGAAAATAACCTAATTTTGTGTTGTTTCAGGTCCACCTTCAGCTAAAGGCGGGAACGTGTACACTCAAGAAAAACACTGAATTACCACCGAATCGACAAAATCCGTTTGCAAGTACAAAGTCTGAAAACCTCGCACGACATTGGAATTGTTAATATTTATAAACCTACTGTTTAGTATAGTATTATATAGTTAGTTCATTAAACACTTATAATATAGTGTTTCTTTTACAAAAGGTCATCATATCCACAGTTATAGTTTAATTTAAGCTAAACGCATATTAATAATCAAAACATAAATATTTAAAATAATTTTAGGCGATTGCCCGTATCATTGTATTTAAGTACGTTAGCAATTCTGTGGACCAATAACTAAAATAATGTACGAAGTAAAACACAAACAAAAAAAAACTAATACAAATTATACAAAATGAAAACAGAGCTTTGAGATTGGTTTCTTGAATTATCTATTAATAAATATAGGTGGCGGGTACTGAAGCAATTGCTAAGTGCAGGTAACTTTAACGTAATCTACGTTATTAACTACGCTTAGTAGAAAAAAAGGTTTTTTGGAAAGCTATGTCATGGTAACGGGGTTCCTAAATTGATGAATAGGAAGGCTTCATTGAGGCACTATGAAATTATTGTTTAGGCAGTACATTTTTATGTTACTTTGAAATATATTTTGCTTTATTTTACCGTACAGACGGTAGCACTGTGCTAAACAATTTTGCACATGCAGTTTCCTCGTGTCTAAAATCGCAATTTGAACAGCCGAGATCAGTAGCCCGGAACGTGTGACGCCCATTCTGCGAATAGATTTTACTGCTAGATTCTTTGTCTAGCCATTTTGGCTTCGAAAAATCTAATTGGATTTTTAGTTTCTAGATTCAAGTGAAGATTGGCAGCATCCAAACGTCAAATCTGAAGCCAGCAGAAATTCAACCTTAGTTTAACTAGTAACTTTTCTTCCCACTTTCTCAAGTAATTTTTAAGTGTTACATTTGTATTGACATGCAAATACGTGATCAGCCTTCTGTGCCATACATACAGTAAGTGACCATTAGTGCTAAGGATTAGAAAACACCACTTCTAACATTCTGGAAATTCTCGCTTAGCTAATATTATTATTATGACGAAATCAAACAGGGCCGGCATAACGGAAGGGCACAATAGACATCGGATTTTTTTTAAATTTCGACTATCAAACAACTTTTATTTTGATTTTTTTGACCTTTGTACAAACATTATTAAATAACACAATTAACAGAAATCATTTATCAGTATTTATATTTTATGTTTGTTAAATACTAAAAGAATCTAGTTCAATCAATAATTTCTTGTTGGTTTCGCAATAAATTATTGATTGAAGAACTTAACTGAAAAAAATTGTTCATTTTATTTGGAAAATAATTTGAGGCCAGAGGCAATACATTATATAGATTATACAACGTAAGATTATTTTATGTAGATACCATAAAAAACCTGAAAGAGTATTTTTTTCTACCGCCGATTTAAAAGGTATAATGGACCTTTATGGAAAATTATACATGCATGAGTTATATGCTTAAAACAGTAATGCAATTTGCATTAAATCATTTATTTCTTTCATTGACCACCCAAGTGAGGTTCAATAAAACACCAATTTATTTAAATACCATATATTATCGTTATAAATAGCTCAAACTTGGCTCCACTAGAAACGCTGAATATGCAGATTTATTATATTAAAATTATTAAATTACATTAAAAACTACCTATCAACATTAAAAACATACCTTATATCTCAAAAATAATAATAATTTACTAACAAAGTGAACGAACTAAATGTTGGCAGTTGAAACATCCACAAAGGTATAGAAAATGCATTACAACCACAAATTATACTAAAATAAGCCTAATTGACTTTTAACCTAATCTAGTTGGTCCACGAAGGTCTAACATTTAACCGCCTTAACGCAAATGTCAATTTCAGTTCCTTAAAACCGTCACAAAATATTACAAGTCATTATCAAATGTTTACACAATTTATCAAGTACAAGAACGACAAAAAATACAAAATCATTGGCAAAATTATATTGTGAACCGACTTAAAAAAGGAGGTTATCAACCTGTAATTGTTTTTGCAACATGATTACCAATATCATTAAATATGAATATTCGTCATTGCCTTTAAAGAGAGAATTCCTCATAAAAAAGTTTTTTTAATTGTAAGAAGCACTTAAATGCACAAACATTTCAATTGTAAGTCCAGCATTTTGGAACATGATTCAACATCACTCAAGATTCTAGTTGTGCTTCAATACTCAAAAGTGAGAATTAGTTTTCTCAAATGAGATTTCCTTAAACATAAAAAGTCCAGATACATGATTTATGGTTGGTCGTAAGTTGTATTGATCCTATCCAGTGCGTGCGGTTTCGTTATTCCGAGCGGCAGGCGGCGCTGGCGGTTGGTATTTTCCTACTGGGTACATTGGCTTCGGTGCAATCGTTGAAACTGCATCATATCTGCAATTAAATTTTATAAAATAAATACTTTTTCTAAGGAGCAGTGTTGGCCTAGTGGCTTCAGCGACTGTCATCCCTGAGGTCGTAGGTTCGATCCCCAGCTGTGCACCAATGGACTTTCTTTCTATGTGCCCAATTAACACTTGCTCGTACGGTGAAGGAAAACATCGTGAGGAAACCGACATGTCTTAGACCCAAAAAAGTCGACGGCGTGTGTCAGGCACTGGAGGCTGATGATCACATCTACTTGCCTATTAGATTGAAAAATGATCATGAAACAGATTCAGAAGTCTCGAGGCCCAGACCTAAAGAGGTTGTAGCGCCACTAATTTATTTTTATACTTTGTCTCATGATTAGATTTTGTAAATCTAAAACATAATATTAGATTCGATTCCCAAGTGTAAGCCTAGTGACTAAGCATTTTGTACTTAAAGGTAGTGTATTATAATCCTGACTTTTAGTATTTTATTTCTATGATAAGTCATAATGAGTAATTTTTGTGTATCGGCTGCATTATTAAAGAAAATTAATCAGTTATAATAAATCTAGGAACAATAAGTCTCTAAAACAATAGATTATTAATTTACAGTAGGATTTAGCTTAGGTACCCTTTCATGTCAATTTAGGTAATAGTTGTACTCACTTGTTGTTGGAGTACTTGTCGGGAATAGCGCGATAAGACTGCGCGGCTGCGTGCGCGTGAGTGCGAGCCAACTCGCGGGCGCAAGGCTCCAACTCACGCACCGCGTAACCCGTGCTTTGCGCCAACGCCGCTGGCCACGCTGCAATTATCTCAATAATTAATAAAGCATATTATATTACATATTATTACGCCAGTAAGATGGCGTATGCAACAAATTAATCAAAAATACTCTTTAGACAACACAAAAAAACTTATTTTGTTCAGACACAACTTGTCTTTTTTTTCGTCCAATCGAATATTTTTTCTGATTACATTTATAAAAAAAGTATGTGTAAGAACGTATTTTCGATTTTTTTAGGCATATAACAAATTCATTTTCGGTATATTAGTGATTTTGTAAGTCGCTACAATTGCCAAAATTTACGGGTATTACACAATATTGTTATACCATAGGCAGAGGATTCTAAAGTTTATGTCTTCTCCGCCAAACACCAACTCATAATATACTATAATTTATAGCTCAATCAATCTATCAAATCAATCAAAAACCATTTATTCATGTAGCTAACACAATGTACACTTATGAACGTCAAAAAAAATACATTAAATGCTTTTAATTTTACATTTACTGCCAGTTCTCAAATCAAGGGCGTAGAACGGAAGAGAAGAACTGGCAATACTCTCCGCCACTCTTTTTAATCGCCAAGTTTTTGTTTTAAGCAATGACACCTATAATCCATATTGTGTCATACCAGGTATGATTATGCCCAATAGTGGCTTGAATTAATGACAAGTATTTCTTACTCATATTGATATTTGAACACCTACTTCTTCATAAGTTTCACTTTAACTTACCTATATTAGCACATTGAGGCCGTAGTCCCTGGTCTTCCTCTCCGGTCCTAATACTGCAGTCCTGTCTTTCACAAAGAAGACAATGGCGTGCTGTGGCCAAAGCACTAGCTGCTATTATCGAGGGCCTGAATTGAAGGTAGGGGTCCGATTCCAGTAATGACAACTCTGCTATGTACTGGAAATAAATAATTTTAATCATTCCAATGCTCCTTGACAAAGAAACTATATTATACAGTCACAGCCAGACTAGAAAAGCTTGTTTGATTACAAAAAAATTATAATAATTCAAATTTCTTGTCTGCTTCATACTTTTTTTAATGTGTGAAATAAATTATTATGTCCATTAAGTACAAATAAGGAATATTCTCAGAGTGTTCAAAACAGGCAGAATAATAATTATTATTTTTATATTATTTTGTTTATTGTCTTCATAAATAAGGCTGCAAGGCTAAAAACGGTATCAATAATACAATATATTTAAAGAGAATTTAATCAAATGGAAAGATTTAAATGCTAAACATTTAAATCTTTCCACACACTTGCAGTGCTGTTACTATACAACCAATATTAATAAATAATAATATTTTGAGTCATAGATACTAAATATACTCACCGCAGCTAAATGAAAGATTTTCTTGGAGAGAGCATTAGATATGCAGTAGAGTGATAGGAAAGCCAAAGATGTCGGTGTTGAGAGGTCAAAAGACAACACTTTCAGTATTAGATGTTCCATACGCAACACTTCCTTCTTTGTGTATGTGTCATCAGTTATGTAGACAAACTCTGATACTTCCGGTGGGTATACTTCTTCATATTTCCTGGAGGTTTTAAAAGTAGCGTTACACAGGTCAATTTAAGTGGCATGGGCACGAGACAGAAACATTTTTGCAATAATGAAACTTTCAAATAACAAATAGCCTATCAAAAACATTCCCCTGCTATAATACAGCCTTCTTAAGGCAGTTTCCATGTGAAACTTAGACACTAACATTAAGCAAAATTAAAGGGATAAAAAAATAAACACTGAAGGTATTATTACAATAATTGAAATCATTAAGTAAAATAGTTTTTTTTATTAGATATTAATAGTAATATCTACCTTGCTAATAACAAAGAATGAAACTTACGAGGCAATGTATGTAGCAGCAGTACCAACAAGCTGAAGTTTTGTGCGTACCACACTCATATAAGACAGGAATCTGTCAACATATGAGACAGCCAGGTGCAATGTCTCACTCTGCTGATTGTATTCATCACACACCTCAACAAGCCAGTCAATAAGAATAGATCTCATAACTTGAGTGATATCTGGTTGCTTACGCATGTAGCGGGGATTGGCACGGTTCTTTACCTGTATATATGAAATGTGTCATTAAGAAATGAAAGTATTCAAAGAAATTATTTTTCATTGTTTTTTTTTCATTTATTTGTTGGTTTATATAATATTATTATTCTGTGGTAGACTAAATATAATTAATAAAAAAAATTGCTAACTATTCAGAATGTTAAAAACTACCGAAAGGAGGTGTTGACAAAACTGTCCCATGTTGACAAAGAATTAGAATTTAAATGTTAAAGTTAAAGTTGTGTATGTAAATGTTAAAAAATGTAAGTATTTATTATTTTCTTGGGTTTTTGTTTAAGTGTTGATAGTTCTCACTTAAGTGTAATGTCTGATGCTTACCTCTATCTCTCTCATATAGTCATAAATATCTTGTCTATATTCCACCACATGGAAAAACAATTCCCTGTTAGTCTGAGCTGTTGTCGCATCTTCATCAATAACATCTAGCTGGCTCTCATTCTTGGAAATTGACATAGACAGTATACTTGAGTCTACTACAGACATTGGTGACTCAATATCATCTTTAAGAGCTTTCTGTTCTTTCTTATCTTCTACCTCTTTCTTTTCTTGTAGGGGTTTTCTAGATAAGGTAATATACCAGATTCAGATTTGTCAGTTAAACAAAGTGATTAAGCAGAAAGGCAACATAATAATCTTTGATCTATAAGGTGCCTAATATCAATTAAAGTATTTATTTTTATGAGGAAGCCAGCATGCATCTTCAAACCATAGTGGTATCATAACACAATGCCACTAAAATTCATAGTTATGACTCTTTCCCCAAAACATGTACTTTGCTAAAGTTACATACAGAAACATTAATAGAAAAAACAAAATGACTAAGGTATTACATACATATGTATGTAATATAGAATATAAAACAGGCAAACACAGAGACTACATTTGTAGAAAAGAGTACAATAATTACTTACAAAATAATGTTCCAACGATACAAGAGTTATGAAATAAAATATTAACTGTTAGATATAAAGTACATTTCTACTTTGATTGACTTTAACGTCAAATTAGATAGTATTATTTAGTAGTGCAGTAAGAAAAAGGTTGATGATTTGACAAAACCTTGACACATTGACATACATTAAGTTGTACATGCATAAGCATTTTTATCTTTCAATATTATGGTGTGATGTAAGAAAACAATAGCTACCCAGTATATTCTAAGTCATGGTTTTAAAAATGCATAGTATTCATAATTATATAACAATTACAAAAACCTTTACTATCCATATATAATTCTTTAAATCAGACCTAATATGACATTATATTAAACATTATTACGTAAAAATCATAGTAAATGACATATTATTAGGGCTAACTTACCTAACAGGAAGAATAGGCTTATCCTTTTCATATTGCTTCTCAGCTTGAGCACAAAGTGCCTTGACATTTTCTGCAGCATTAAGGAAAAAGTTATCCTTTTTCAATTCTTTGGAAATGAAAGGCTTGAATGCTTGCTCTCGTTTCTTCAAATCTACTTCCAAAGGTTTTGCGGGATTATCTTCATATACACTGAAGGCGCGAAACTGAGCTACAGGGGGGACGATATTTTTTTCGTTCTTGATATTCCGCACCGTTCTATTTTCATCTTGGCCCTTGTAGGGTCCATTCGTTATTCCAACCTATGATAAAAGTTTAAATTGCTTTTCAAGAAGTTAACAAAAATGTAACTAAATTGAAATTCGACTTACATTTTTCACGTTGCGGTTCTGGTTGCATTTGAACTGGCTCAGATCACCTAATGCACGTCTCTGAGTCGCAGCGGCAAATACTTCTGCTTCTTTCCTTGCAGCTAGTGAAGAATTTTCTTGATCCTCGTGAATTCTGAACGATGCCATTGCCCCTGTTTCCGTAAACACTAACCGTTTAACGAGTATTAGCTCAAAGCGGGGTTCACATAAAGGAAGGCAACTCTGCGGAAATACGTAACGTGCAAAGCATTCACAATTGCATTTTGACAAAAAAGAGGGTGAGTGTTAAAAAATATTTCCGCAAATCTGTAAATTTCACCCTCAATATGAGAATAGCGTCAACGGAAAAAATGCATTTTGATAGATTCAGCTGTTGCAGTTTTTGTTCCTCTTTAGTCTATTATATTTTAAATTCTAACCAATAGCGTCAGCTCATGGACACCAAAAGTAAGCTGTCTTCACACAGATAAGTAATCATTATTTTCTTTTTGTAATAATTGGGATTTTAGTTATTTTAGTACTGTTAAATTCGAATGTCCCATTATTTTTTGTCGGTTCATGTAGAGATGTTAATTTAGAGACTTTTTAAATCGATTTCATTTTAAACTAAACAAAAGGAATAAGATAGTGGGAAATATATTGTTCTAAAAATCAATCATTATAAAGCGTTTAAAAACGTGATGGATTCACTCCATTTTATGTATGTCACGTAACGCAAAACGATCAAGATTAGTTGTCTTGGCGATAACTTGCTACAAGTTTTTAAATAATATGTCTTAATTCTTATCCTAATAATTATTAATACTTTTATGACGTATAATTTCATGGAAGACTGTGTTTAGCGAAATAAACAGTATATTGTATTTTACATAAAATTAACGCAATAATATCGGAAATATTTAAATTATCAAGCTGAAAATATGAAAAATGCTAAGTATGATAAAACCTTAAATAACAACATAACTTTATCCTGGGATGAACAAATTATGATGTACTTTCACAATTTGCATCCAGTTAGGTAATTGTTAAAATAAATGTTAAAGGTAAGTTTTTAGCAATTTATGTAGCGTTTGCGAGCCAGAATTCAAAATAGCATTGCTTGGTTTGCAAACCAAAAACTTGTCTGAAACCATAAGTATAGTGTATTATTTATCTATGTTTATACAGGATTTGTACATAGTTGCAGTGTTGGCAGTTGGCACTTGCCACTTGGGATTTGGCAAGTTTTATCACAGGACACAGGCAATTCCTGTTCTGTTAATAAATTAAAGTTATAAATAAGATTCTCCCCTCCATACCTTGTAATAAAATGTTAACCTCTTGTATATATTATTAGATGTCTGTGTGTGTTGTATTTATTGTGATGTCATTTTTGTTTTGGGTAACTCTGCTTAGATAAAATTCAATCTATCAAAATTATCAAATCTATCCTCACTGTGTGAAGACTTAGAACGTGACATTGGCGGAATTGTGATTTACACAGATGTCGCCATTATAAATAAAGTGAAGTGAAGTGACAATTCCTGACTCCTGTAGAAAAACATAACATTTATATTTTAATGTATCAATTAATATTTATTATCAACATAGTTCGTATTTTTTAACTACTTTGTATCAGTTGTGCCAAATTAAATGAAAATGTTAGATTTAAATAAATAAAAATAATGTTTAAAATGTAACCTAGCAAAGCCGAACTTATAGTATAATTTATGAAAAGTCAAAAATACGATATCTAATAGTTCTGTTACAATGCATTTCGTACCAAGAATCCATATATATTTAATTACAGTTATTAGTTTAAGTCATTTGTGTTATACAATACGCGAATATAAAAAAGAAGATATAATAAAACTGCGGTAAGTTAACAGACTTTAAATGTACCTTTATATGTATGTTTTAGTAAATAGCCACGTAATTAATAAACACTCTTTCAGAGAGGAGGTTCGTGAAATGTTCCAGCATGCTTATGATAGTTATTTAAAATATGCATATCCATATGATGAGCTGCGTCCATTGAGTTGTGATGGCATGGATACTTGGGGTAGCTACTCCCTAACTCTTATAGATTCCCTGGACATGTTAGTTATCATGGGAAACTACACTGAATTCAATAGAGTGGTAGACATAGTGTTGGAGCGAAAAGACTTTGATACAGATATTAATGTTTCTGTGTTTGAAACTAATATCAGAATAATTGGTGGTTTATTGAGTGCACATCTTTTATCTCACAAGTAAGTTGCATAAGTGACTTTGAAGATGTTTTTAATTTTGTTTAAATGATGTAAATACTACATGATGGTATTTTTAAAACCATTTATATTTATTGTGATTGTGATATTATGAAACTGATTCCGCAGAATAGTCATTTTAATATTGTTAATTATTATTCTTTAAATTAAAATAAAATATATAGTGAGAGGTTTTATACACATAGTTTAAATTTTTGTATTAAGGTTAACATTTGGTAAGAATGGAAAAAAGCCATACCTTGACAGAAATTACTTATTTCAATGAATTATTTAAATTTTTAGTTCTTTTTGTTGGTGCGTTACATTTACATAGTTAAACTAGATACTTCTATAACGCTTTTATCTGTATTAAAATTGTTGTAATGATTTTTTGGGCTAGTTGTACCTTATAAACCATAATTACCTATTATTATGTGTGTCTAGTCACAATATTGTTACTGCTGCAACATGCTTAAGACAACAACCTAACTAGAACTACCAACTTGCTTGGCTAAGTAGCCGAATTCTTGTAGTTTTAACTATTAACTTTACTCGTATCACTTCTTTTTTGTCCACCACTAATCAACTAAAACTTCCTAATGCTTCTTACTGTGGCAACTAAACTACTAGTAATGGATTCTCATACTGAAGGAGGAACAAAAACTGTTTTTGTTATATTTTTCTGTTACTTTAATTTTTATATTATAGGTCTGGTATGAAATTAGAGCCTGGTTGGCCATGCAATGGCCCGTTATTAAGATTAGCTGAGGATGTTGCTCATAGGCTCATAGCTGCATTTGATACAACCACTGGTATGCCATATGGTACAATTAATTTAAGATCTGGAGTTCCACCTGGGGAAACAAGTATCACTTGCACTGCTGGTGTGGGGACATTTATCATTGAATTTGGTACTCTAAGCAGGTTGACAGGGGACCCTTTGTATGAAGAGGTAATTGTATATAATATATTAGACTGCTGTGCATTCTACACAACAAAAGTAATTTCAAGTAGTTATTTTTAATAAAACATGACATGATTTTATACAATAAAAACAACATATTTAATTATAGAATTCTAAAAATAACGCACTCTAGCTATTATTTATTTTTAGTATCCCATACTGTATAATAGTAAATATTGTGTCTATAATATATTTAGAAAAAAAAATCAATTTTAATTGATCTCTATAACTTATTAAAAATATAGTTTTTTATTGTTGACAATTGCATTTTTGTCTTCTTAGGTTGCATACAATGCATTGAAAGCTCTGTACCATCATAGGTCACCAATTGGTTTGGTGGGTAATCATATAGACGTGATGACCGGCCGCTGGACAGCCCAGGATGCTGGTATTGGGGGCGGAGTGGATTCTTATTTTGAGTATTTAGTTAAAGGTAATTATTGCATAGTAAGCTATCATGTGATGTTAAATGACTGAAGTATTCTTAGATAAATGAGTATCAGACACTAAAATATTATATTAATTAGATAAAATATTAAGGCTCTCATTTTATGAACAATCTTTTGGTGACTTAGATCTTTATAAATACATAGAATGACCAAAAGTTTAGTTTTTTTAGAGTAATCATTGTAGAATGTAGAATTTGTAATGGTGAAAGAATTTTTCAAATGTCCCTATATTCTTATTTATGTTTTGGACCCTATTCAATGCAAACAAACCATCTAATCCTTCCTCTTTATAATATTAGTGAAGATAAATTTTTAATAATGAGTATTGAGATGATTACTGTCGAACTATAATGATAACAGTGAGGTACCATAACAAAAGGTAAGGGGCTACCTTAAATCCCTCGACAATTCCGCTCAGACTCTACTCTGTTAGCATTTTGCTATGGCAACTTTTGACCCAAAATTGTTCTATATAATATAACAGCCTTCGGCAGTTTGTGCTTATACAACTTGCAAAGATAATATCTCTTTTATTACTAAAGTGTTATTGACTTTGCGTTTGTGTTACTGACTTAAGTGTGATTGACCAGTGAACCACTACAATATTTTTACAATATAGTTTGATTTACTTGTATGTGTAATGTATAATATATATTAGGGAGCGTTCAAGCATTACGTCACGCAATTTTTGGGAGATTCTTGACCCCCCTGTAACGCGCCGTAACGTTTTTCTGTAGCCAATAGTAAAACGTTTCGTGACAACTCAGTGACTCTTTATACCCAAAAGTTACCATTATGTGGTGTTAAGTACTGGAAAGTCGAAAATAATATTAACAATAAAGGGTAATTCAATCCCCGCCCCGCATCGTAACGTTTTACAAGATGGACAAAAATTTTCGTTACATAATACTTTAACGCTCCCTTACATAAAATGTGTACTTGTGGGTGCTATTGGCTTGAAGTACTTTTAATATCCCCACGATTTTGATTTTCGCTAAACCGTTAAATAGATCGGATGAGGACTTTTCATATATTACGTACTTTTTATAGGGCAAATGAGCATGCCCATGGACACTTCCAACGCCTCGGAGCTTACGGGTGTGTTGTGGACGTTTAAGAAAATGGTACTAGTTTTCTTGAAGACTCTAAGTCGTATCGATTCAGAAATACCTATGACACCTTTCACAAAGAGTTTGTGCCTTAAAAAGCGCTGTTGACATCAAAATATAGCCTTAAATAAAAAATCTGTGGCGCTTCAACCTATTTAGGTCTGGGCCTCAGATTTTTAATCTGTTACATGATCAATCTAATGGAGTTGGTGATCAGTCTCCTGTTCGTCACACACTCCGTCGACTTTTTTGGGTCTAAGGCAAGCCGGTTTCGTCACGATGTTTTCCTTCACCGTTCGAGCGAATGTTAAAGGCGCACATAGAAAGTCTATCGGTGCATAGCCGGGAATTGAACTTACGACCTCCGGAATAAGAGTCGCGCGCTGAAGCCACTAGGCCAACACTGCTATTACCCTATTAGCCTTAAATAAAGGTGAACTAATTTTATATATATGTGAAATCTTTTAAAGGCGCAATATTGTTGGAAAGGCCGGAATTAATGTCAATGTTTAATGAGGCACGTGCGAACATTGATAAATATTTGAAGAAAGATGATTGGTACGTGTGGGCCACGATGCTGCGAGGACACGTCACCCTGCCCGTCTTTCAGTCACTCGAGTCCTACTGGCCTGGTGTACTGAGCTTAATTGGTGAGCATACTTTATGTTTTAACCGACCTCTAAAAGGTGTATGTGATAAACTAAGTCTAAACATATAGATGAACCTTTAAATCGGGAATATTCTTTAATAAAGCTACGTTTTATCAAAATCGGTTTAGTATTTCAAGAGTATCCTACATATTATACATTTTTAGATGGTTTTATTGTTTTAATATTTTTTATAATTTATTACATTAAATATAATACGTCCGTACTATTTTAATGATACTGTTTTTATATTTGTTTCTGCGTTAATGTTATTTTGTGTACTTTTATCAGCCGACTATTTTTTTAAATTATGTTTTTTTATATAGAACAGGGTGAACTGACAGATGGCTCACTTGATGTTAAGTGATACCACCGCCCTTGGACACTCAATGCCACAGGGCTCGCAAGTGCGTTGCCGGTCTTAAAATCAGTCATTGAACAATATTTTGCGTCGGAGTGACGTAGTATAGTATAAATTTGTATTATAGACATTATCACTCGAACGTCAAGATCCATTTAGAAATAATCAGAGTTTTTTTGTATAACGCCTAAGGCCCGTACTATAGAATGTTAACCATACCTAAATCTAGTGCTGTCAAGAGCTGTCAAAGCATATTTTCTTGTGAAGTTTGACATATTTGACAGCGCTCAAGACAAAACTGAAAACCTAAAAATTCGTTGCAGGCGAAAGCGATACAGCTATGCGAATCATCCATAATTACCACAGTGTATGGAAACAATATGGTTTTACACCGGAAGTATATAATCTTGGCACGGGGGAGGCATCTTCGTCAAGGGAGAGTTATCCCCTAAGGCCGGAGCTTATAGAGTCAATAATGTATTTATATAGAGAAACGAGAGATCCGATACTCTTGCAAATGGGTGAGGATATTCTGAGAAGTATTCAGCACAGTGCATGGACACCATGTGGCTATGCAACGGTAAGTATTATTAAATGTTATGTTTTTTTGTGTAATAAATTTATGTATTATGTGTAATAAAATAAATTAAAACATTTCTAATTAAAATGGATATTGTTCTCGTCTTCCATATATAGGAAGGTTTCTTAAATAAATATTATTTAAGTTTTTTTATAATTTAATAAATATTATTTAGTTAAGCATACAATCATAATTCCATTATGGTTGTTACAATATGCTCTTTAAAGCAATTATTCAGAATAAATAAAAAAAGATTCCTAAATGAACGTTATCTGTCACAATCCGTGTCTTTGACATATTGATTTATTTCGTAATCCTACAGCTAGCAAAAATTATATATAATTAACAATTACACTAAAATATACCCAAAGATGTAATACATAATATTAACAACAAGGTTCAAACATTTACAAAAGGGGAATAAACAATAAAAAATATTTAATCAATTTAATTAAGTAATACCTTATTTGACTGTGTTGTGTGATGGTGTAAAAGTGAGGGTATGTCCGTGAAGGTGTGCATGTGGGGTATGCTCATGATGAATTTGCGCTATGGATGTTCTTAATAGTAATACCATATTCCGCGATGGCTTAAACAAGTCAAGGCTTAAATATCGGTCGTTGTATGTCCGGACTGCGCGATACAATACTGAGTTTTTTTGCATAGTTAGTGTTGATGTGAGAAACTTTAAACAAAGCACGACTACGAGTCTTTTAGGCATTTGGGAACACGACAGTAAGTGACACACTTTAGCTAAGTATGTCAAAAGAATTAGAAGAATTAGAATTTGACATACGTCATATTTGCACTGAGTCGCTACGCGAATGGAGTGTGACGCTTAGACTTGTCTTGTAATCTTATCCTAAAATCTTTGAGGATTTAAAAGTGTTATAATTAATTTGGTTAGTCTAAGGTCATCGAACTTAAATCTAGTTTCTAGAGTGATGAATGTGACACATTTGACACCGATTGTGACTTGCAATACGTATTTTGGAACTAAGTTTGTGAAGCGAAATGGCTTTATTGGGAACTAAAAATAAGTTGAATAAAAAAAAAATATAATGAATTTTTTTCTTTTGTAAATTTTTGAACCTTTTCGTAAATATTATGTATTCCAATCTTTGGCTATATTTTTAGTGTATTATATATGATATTTATGGATTTGTGCTGGTGGACTATGAAATAAATAAAATTTAATTAATTTCCCAGATAAAAGATGTCCGCGATCATCGCAAAGAGAACCGAATGGAGTCGTTTTTCTTAGCCGAGACGACAAAGTATCTTTACCTCCTTTTTGACCCGGATAACTTTATTCACAACCCGGGCGTGCACGGGACGGTGATAGACACACCAAATGGTGAATGTATTGTGGACGTCGGTGGATATATATTTAATACCGAAGCTCATCCAATTGACCCGACAATGTTGTATTGCTGCCATGAAGCAAGGCAAGGGTAGGTTTTTTTTTTTTTTTTTATAGAATGGGGGGCAAACGGGCAGGAGGCTCACCTGATGTTAAGTGATACCGCCGCCCATGGACACTCTCAATGCCAGAGGGCTCGCGAGTGCGTTGCCGGCCTTTTTAGGTTTTGGACATTTTCTTTGACATCATTTCAGGTGCTTACAGAGATTTTTGTATTTATTTTTCTAGTAGCTATGGTGATTATCCATCTGTGCCTGACACATGACATCGTCTTGGGTCTAAGGCAGTGTTTGCTAATGTGGGTCCCAGGCCCTACAGGGGGAAAATTTGATTGTTAAGGAGGCAATTCGAAAATGGAGTCAACGTTTTTCATTATGTTTTGAAAATTTACTTACTGAGTTTCGTATACAATTTCCTAGGGATTTCATCCTAAAACCTACTATTTAAGTTTCTTAAGTGAACAATTCAATTTTACATATAAAAAATTCCATATCTTACATAATATGTGGTCATTAGAATTTGAAAAAGGTGTAGGGCATGGCACAAAAAAGGTTGAGGAAAACGTAAGGGATGCCGGTTTCCTCACGTTTCCTTTACGAGCGAGTGTTAAATGCGAACATTGAAAAGTCCGATGGTGCTGCCAGGGTTCGAACCTACGACCTCAGGGATAAGTCAGCACCGGAAAAACTAACTTAACTAAATGTTGATAAGGGCGACGCCGTAAAGACGGAATCTACTTAAATGTTTGTTTATAATAATAATAGTAAAAGCGAAATAGTTTATTTTTCTCATATCATTACATACGGTGTATGTAATAAACATAGAAAGAAAACAGTTATTAGAAAATATTGTTGGTATGATAGATTTTTAAAATAAAAAGCGTTAAAAGCGATTGCCAAAAAGGTTATCATTAATAATAATAAAAAAAAAATTTACTTAGTAATTACTTATTTAAAGATACTTATTCGTATATTGTGGTTACTCGATAATTGCTTAACAACGCTTATTTAAATTGATCAGCTCACTATCGATTATATCAATATCTGATTAAAAAGCAGTTATTCTGCTGTATTCGCGAAGAATTCATTCATTTATTCCACATACTATACATTTATCTTCCGGCCACGTATTTGACCATACCGCCTTCGCTCATGTAATATACGTGATATTTCCTCTAGCAAATTCCATATTCATTTGGCAATTATTCTTATTAGCGTTTGCTAATTGATAAGCGCTTTTTCTATACTAAATTGTAACTTATCCCTATAAATATTTGCAGGATAAATATCAGCGAAGTACACAGAGTATACCAAATGTTAGAAGAAGAAGATAACATACACTTCATGACTATGATAGATAAAGCAACAGAAAAAACTGTAACTCAAATGATATCGGAGCCTATGGAAGCTCAAACAATCACAGAAACAGATACATTACGGGATACAAGTAAAAATGAAGTGTTCATCAAAACAGAGACAAGAACGGGCTACGTAAACATAGACGGTACGGAGAGAGAGAAAACCAAAAATGAAACAAAACTAAGCGACGTTTTGAAAGATCGTATCAACAATTTCTATAACAAAACAGATAATGAAGACACAAATCAAGAAAATTTCACTGAGAAAGTCGATGTGGACGATATTATCATCCCCGAAAAACATGAAGATAAATTAGAATTGCCGAGTTCAACGCGAGCGAAGGAAACAATGAAATTGCTGCCCAAAGTAATTCTGGACTTTTTAAATAACGACTGGAAGACAAAGCACAAATGCGAACCGCAGCACATGTTTGAGAGAATGAGACGAGAGAATAAATATCCGATTCACCCAGATGTGGACAAGTTCGAACTTTTGTTGACGCCGGTGCCATCTTTCTTACAACGAATATCGTTAGCTGGCGAGTTTTTAAATAAAAAACAATTAGAAGTATAGAGAAATGTGTTTTGTTTAATATAGGTTTTAAAAAATCTAATTTTAGTGAGTGTTCACTAATGCATAAATTGTTTTTGTTTTCATAAATTTATTTATTTTTATTTCAAACTAAGAAATATATATATATATATTGTTATTATTTATTTAAGGGGCCGTTCAAGTTGTTCGGTTTAATTTCCTTATTTGGTGATTACGTCACCAGTAATTATTTACTTTTTTACACATATTACCCATTGTCTATGCTTTAAACGAAATGCATTTTCGAGAATTCCTACAAAAAATAAATACGTTTATGTACTATTATTTTTAGAGAGGGAGGGGATGAATTGCAGTAAATCTGCTTACGTAATACTAAGACAAAATATTATATTAAATAATATTTAAATAAAAGACCGATATCGAAAACTTTATCTTATTTAAAAATCACCTAATAAATCTTCTTTCATACCAGGGATAAATAGACAAGTGATCAAAGGATCTGTCACGTTAGCATGTCAAAATAAGGTCAACATGTTAGTGTAATATCATCATCATCAACATGTTAGCGAATCGTCAAAATTAATAAGTAAAAATATAAAAAAATTATAACATCACAAAAATGCTCGGGTTTCTCTCAATGAGTTTGAATCGTGCTATGCTAGGAGTGAGCGCCGCTCTGTCCCTGGCCTCATGCACGATCTATCATGACCGATCTGAAAACATCAGCATCCGAAGAAAATACTTTGTCTGCTAAAGGTTATAAACTAACGAAATTCGTTGGCGAAGGTGCTTACGCAAAGGTCCTAACATCTAAAGTTTTTTAAACCATAATTTCATATTCACATAGATTCCATTATCCTATACTCTTCCACAGGTATATTTAACAGAATACGCCGCAAAGGAAGGCACCAATAAAGTTACACTCGCGTGTAAAATCATTGAAACCTCAAAAGCCCCAAAGGATTTTGTTGTAAAGTTTTTACCCCGTGAAATAGACGTTTTGATACGATTAAACCATCCTCACCTGATACACGTGCACAGCATATTTCAGCGGAAAACTAAATACTATATTTTTATGAGATACACTGAAAACGGTGATCTCTTGGGTTATATTTTGAAAAATGGTTGCGTTTCTGAAAATCAGTCGAGAGTTTGGTTCCGCCAATTAGCTTTGGCTCTCCAGTACCTTCACGAGTTAGAAATAACACACCGAGATATTAAGTGCGAAAACGTATTACTGACAGCAAATTTTAACGTAAAGCTTTCCGATTTCGGGTTCTCGAGGTCTTGCGTTGACGAGGAAGATCAGCCCGTATTGAGTGAGACCTATTGTGGGTCTATGTCATACGCGGCTCCGGAGATCTTGAGAGGCAAGCCGTATTTGCCGAAGCAAACTGATCTTTGGTCGTTGGGAGTTGTACTATTTGTAATGTTAAATAAATCTATGCCCTTTGATGATACACGAATGAGAAAATTATATGAACAGCAGATGGGAAAAAAGTATAGATTTAGATCACGTGTAGCAAGTGCTATATCTTTAGAGTGCAAATCTGTGGTGAAGCATTTATTGGAGCCGGATCCTGGCTTACGCCACTCGGCGGCACAAGTCCTCAATTCCGAATGGATTGCTATGGACAGTAGACTTACAAGTATGTTGTCTTTTATACAAATTGCTTTTTGCATTGTATTATAAATGTATTAAGATATTCTGTTATAATTTTTTAGCTCTTAACACAGTTGAAGCAGCGGCATTACAAAAAGCGCGCGAAGAGCGCCGTCGGTTATCAGATTCGCATCGCAACCCGCCAAAACGGCAAGGTGACATATTAAGCAGAGAAACGAGAGATTCCTATAGAGTGGGTATACTTGTTTCTCACAGTATATTTTAATCATTATGTACTGAATGATATTTCTTTTGTTTCAGGCAAGTGAAATGATAAAATCTTTAGCTAATTTAACTGCCAGGCAGAAAAAAAACGATTAAATGGAAGCGAAAGCAAAGGTATTGTTATTGTTAAGAAACTCATTTATGAATCGTTTACGCCTATAATATATAACTTGTAGGTTCATGTTGAGGAAGATTTGAAATTGAGTGGCTCTGAACAACTAACGCTTGCAACTCGGGGGTATAAAATGATAAAGAAAATAAACGAAGGCTCTTATGCTAAGGTATGTTACATTAATAAATACAAAGCTATTAATTTAAGCGCCATTAGGAAAACTTGTGTGAGAATTGCACGAGTAGGTTTGGTCGTATTACTAATTGTCTCACAATTTAATTACTGTATGTGTTAATAATTATTTGTTTAGCGCTCTATGCTCTTTTTTTCTTGTTTGTTTCTGGTTTTTTAAACATTCTTTGTGGAAGAGGGCGGTAATGGGCCAATCAATGCCATTTTAGTAATGATAAAGCAAAAGATGAGCGCATCTCCCCCCTCCAAGTAGGGATGTGACATTTTGCATAAAAAATCGATTTTTTATTAATCGATTATTTTTTTACATTGAATAATCGATTAATAAATAATCGATTTTTCTTAATAAAATAATCGATTTTTTTTTATTAATCGATTTTTTCCTAATTTTTTAATTACATAATTTCAAAATAAACACCCTAAATATTTTATTTTTCATGGTTTTTTAAATTAAAAATAAACAATAGAAATTATAAACACAATTTAACGTTTAAGAATAATCAAAATCAAAATGAACTTAATCTCGTTTTGATAGATTTTTGATAAATGCTGAGCGTCCTTTTCAGTAGCACATTGCAGTATTTTTGTTGTCGTTTTAATTGTATGTAGTCTTGTGCTGCTGAATAAATTTATTTTACTTTTAAATTATAGTGTTCCATTCAAACTTGAGTTTTTGTAAAATTAACTGCTTTTATCATCCTTTTGATGTTTTACAAAAAAACATCAATGTATCGAGTATATCAATACATCTTCAAAGAATCGGATTCAATGTATCGCATTGTAAACATCGTTGTGTATCGAATATCCCTAATAGTTCGAGGTCCGGGTTTTAAAATACCAGACATAATGACGGGAGGTGGCAGATAAAAAATCGATTATGATTGATTTTCAATTATAAAAATAATCGATTAATAATCGATTATTTTAAATTTAAAAATCGCGTAAAAAAATCGATTTTTACTTTTAAAAAAATCGATTAAAATCGATTTTTTTTTATAATCGATTATTTTTTCACATCCCTACCTCCAAGGGATTTATGTTTTCATATTTTAGGATAAATGTTTTGTTTTCCAAATATATCGTATTTGTTAACACATTTCTGTTTATCTAGGTTTATCTCTCAGAATACAGAAATCCTAATAAAAAAGATCGTTTGTCAGTTCTCGCCTGTAAAATCATAGATACCAATACGGCTCCGAAAGATTTTGTTAAGAAGTTTCTACCGAGGGAGATAGATATGCTAATCAAATTGAACCATCCACATCTCGTGCATACTCACAGCATCTTCCAAAGACGATATAAATACTTCATATTCATGCGTTATATGGAAAACGGGGATTTGTTAGAGCATGTTTTGCAAAAAGGTGCCGTACAAGAAGACCAAGCTAGGATTTGGACGCGACAGCTTGCTCTCGCCATTCAATATATGCACGAGTTGGAAATAGCTCACCGCGATATAAAATGTGAGAACGTACTACTCACCGCTAATCAAAACGCGAAATTATCAGACTTCGGTTTTGCCAGGATGTGCGTGGACAAACGATTCAAAGACATTCCCAGCGAAACGTTTTGTGGATCGCTCTCATACACTGCGCCAGAAATTTTACAAGGATCGCCCTATTACCCTAAGCCCACTGATATTTGGTCCCTAGGTATTGTGCTGTACGTTATGCTTAACAGGGCCATGCCCTTTGAAGATAAGCATATCAAGCAATTGTACCAAGCTCAGATAAACAAAAGCTGGAGATTCCGCTCGCGATACAAAGAATCGCTTTCAGAGAATTGTAAACGCCTCGTACATTTAATGTTAGAACCGAATTACAGAAATAGAATCAAAGTGGACAATATCATTAACGGTGCATGGATCGCTATGGATTCGAGATTGTTGGGTAAATACTTTTTCTCTCGTGTTTTTGCGTTCTCTCATTATGCAATGCTTTATTTTATATACTGATATTTTTAGAGTGGAATACACAAGAAACATCAGCTTTTAAGAAAGCACGAGAGGAGAAAATTTTAAGCATGCAGCAGGTGGAAGTGGCGGAGCCTATTAGACAGGAAAAGGACACATCCTGCCTTCCCGACAAATCTCTAGTAAAAGCTACGTATGATATCGACGACTCCACATCGTCTTGGTAAACAAATAGTACATAAAAACTTTTTTGTTACAATTTTTACCACTGTCATTTTCCGTTTGTTGCAATGTCAGTTTTGAGGTTTTTGACATCAATCACAAAGATGTAGCTTTATTTTTAACGTTTATTTTTTAATTCTTTAACACAATCGCCAATATGTAAATATGTTAATAAAAGTAAAAATAAAGTAAAAATGCGCGCGTGGCAATAAGTCGCATCAATGCCAGCAACAGAAAAATTTGAACTCACAGCCACACAATCAGACATCGCTGTATTACAGGAAAAGGGATTTATATTAGAGAAGATAGTTGGTGAAGGCTCTTATGCTAAAGTAAGCGGTTACAACAAGAAACTCAACTAAAATGTTTACAATCGTTTATAAAACTTACTACTTTCAGGTGTTTAAAGCGACTCATATGGTTGACGAGACCCGGCACACGGTCATGGCTTGTAAAGTAATAGATACAGCACAGGCGCCTCGCGACTATCTCACTAAATTCTTGCCACGCGAACTAGATGTTCTAATTCGAGTCAATCACCCGCACATTGTACACGTGTCAAACATATTTCAGCGTCGCGCTAAATACTTTATTTTCCTCCGTTTCGCTGAGAATGGCGATTTATTAGATTTCCTCACTCAGAACGGCGCAGTTCCGGAGAACCAAAGTAGACTTTGGATGCGTCAGATACTGTCGGGAATTCATTACATACACACACTTAATATCGCGCATAGGGATCTGAAATGTGAGAATATACTGATCACCGTTAATTATAATGTCAAAATAACAGATTTTGGTTTTGCTCGCAATGTCCGACAGCGGGACCGCGACGTCTTAAGTGAGACGTACTGTGGTTCGCTGTCGTACGCCGCACCAGAAGTGTTGAAAGGCGTACCGTACCTCCCGAAACTGGCGGATATGTGGTCGATTGGAATTATAATGTACACAATGCTCAATAAGGCGCTGCCGTTCAATGAGACTTCGGTTAAGAAATTATATGAGAAACAGGTACATACCTACTACTCTGTACCTTTCAGATATACAAATTAAGAGGTGCCATTACAACTCTTCCAAAGCACATACAAATCGTATGACAAAATTTCACAAGACCAGACTACTTGAACTACTAGACTTCTTTGCACTTTTTTCCACTGCTATTGGAGCTCGTACCAGGCTTTCTGTGTTTCACAGATATTGTTTCGCTTTTGGAAATAGGTGGATGAGCCTTACGAAGATAAACGATGTTTCTTGTGAATTTGAGATTAATAAAACGGTAAAATATAAGAAAAAAATCTCCTCTCTTAGTGAGTTACAATTTTTCTCGCTTAATTGTAGTGATATTTTTTCTACAACATCTTGATAAGTTTAAACCTAACGATGTACTCTTACGGAATAAATCCGTTTGTTTTAAATAAATAGTTCTCTGAAATTTTAGGTGATGCGAAAATGGCGTTTTCGCACTGGAGTAGTGAACCAACTATCGTCTGAATGTAAGCTACAGGTTACGCAATTAATGGAGCCAGAAGCCAAAGCCCGACCCACCGCTGCCTCCATCTTCAATGGACCTTGGATCGCTATGGACCCCAGATTAACCAGTACGTGTTTGCATTTATTCCTTTTTGATGTTGAATTGTGCGAGTACCGTTTCTTTATATTATGAATGATTTATTTTCGCTTGAGTGGCTCTATTTAAAGTCTTAATAATTTCTAACCAATCAATGTCTAACAATTAGCCAGAGTAGGGTTTTAGAGTATTTATTTCTTCTTAATCAATAACTATACTTGTGCGTTTTTTGTCTTACTCTGTATTAACCACTCGCGTATAACAATAGAATATGAGCGAAATAATGGAATGTTAATTGCTATGTAACGAATAATTGCGAAATAACAGTCAAAGAGAGTGCCTGCATCTGGCTATACTCTCGGGGCGTGACTCCGACAATTTATCCGAAATCGTCATGCTTGTAAATGAGCAAATGTACGAGCCTTGGCACGTACATAGAGAATCATCACGCTTATAAAACTAAGAAAGCCTGAGTGAGCAAAATGTATAGCCTTGTCTCGTACAATACTACTATTAAAAAAATGAGAACCCTTGTGTGCATAAGCACATTACTGGTTATAATAAATCTTTTCCTTAGCTCGTATTTATAAAGCCTTTAATTGGTAGGAAGTATTCAGGAGTTACTAGTACTATACAGAGGCTAAGTCTACAATCTTTTAATACAATTTTCAGAGCTAACGTTTCTTGAGGAATCTCTTCTAAAGCAAGCACAAGAAGAGTCGCAGAGACGCGAAATGGAGCACTTTGAGGACGAGAGCGAAGTGGAGCGACTCGCGGAACTACGGCGCAAAGGGCGAGGCAAAGGTTATTTTTTTATAATTTAACTTTTAATTTTTTAAATATAATAAGCCAAATGTTTATTTATAGACTACGGATGATATGATTTATCGAGGCTAAACTTAGCCTAGAATTATCTGAGACCAAACTTCAGCTAGTACCTACATTCTTACAACGCAGAGTGAAATTCGACTTAAAAATTTAACGTAATTGTAAATTTTTCTTGCTGATTTTATTGAAAAGCTTACTTTTTTATGTAATAGGAGGCAAACGGGCAGCCTGATTTAAAATGGTACTGCCGCCAATGGACACTCATATTGCGCAAGAGCGTTGTCGGCCTTTTTTACTTCAGTATAACTCTCCTATTTTTATCTTATTTACTAAAAATAAGTTCAAAAAGGATAAAAATTTTCAGTTTCAAACAAAAACAAATGATTATAAATATATGTATATTGAAATTCTAATATTAAGCTCAAAAAGGTCGTTATAATTATACATCGTGAGATTTTTTTGTAATTTAGTTTTAAATTTCATTTAATACCTGCTTATTAAAAACTATTTAAATAAATCGTTTTCAGAGGGCTTAAAAGTATTGAAGAACGCCGACTCAAACTTCGCAAAATCTCAACCTTTGCTCGAGGAAAGGGAATGAAAGACAAGGATATTCAATCAGTGTTTATTAATTTATATTAACCATGATATTAAGTTATTGTAAAAATTATTTAATATATTTATTGTTACAAGTTGTATTTCAACTGGATTATAACACTTAATTCTAGTTTTACATTGTTATGGAAGACAAGGGTTCATATGGGCATCGCACAATTTATGCTTTTTGGCACAATCACTAGGAACAGGATCATTAGTAAACGCATCAAAAACATTAAATTAACTGCTTAAAAAATCGAAGACAATTGACTTGTGGCAAAGACAAGCTAGAAAAAAGATTGTAAAGAACCCTCGAAAATGCATTATTTGGTATTGTGCGATATACAGGCATTTCATAAATTGGCAATTCATACTTAATAAATACTTATTTAAATACGTTATCAAACTCTAACGATGAAAACTCTTAAAAAACTCAACACGCATCTGTACAAGGCAAAGATTACATTTATTGTCTATTTCTGGACATGACAGCTGACAGCTAAAACTATTAAACTTTTTTTGTAAATTAGTTGTGACAGTTCGAAGTCGTCAAACGAACATGTATGGCGCCAACCCTGACTATAAATGTCATCTCCACCTTGAACTATTAAGAATGAAAGACAAGTACAGATTATAGGATTTTGACAGATGGGTAAGTTCGGACTTGTCTCTGATTCTTAAAGTACTTATAACAAATTTTACCAGTAACTATGTAATAAATAGCAGCGAATAGAACGAGACCAGTTTAATATTGTCCTTTATCAGTCATTTTCTAACTACTTATAAGTACATTTGCGAAGATTTTACTTTTATTGACAGTACCCAGAAATATTTTTTTCAGTTTTGTGTTACAGCCTTATAAACATACTATGAGTTTTAATTGGTTAAATGTTTTGTCTATTTCGGAGCGTGATTGGCACCACAGATTCAATATTGCTATACATCCAAATTTGACATATGGCGTTTGTAATCTATAGGTCGTGTTCTATTATTTTTGAAAAAAGTTCAGTGTTGCTGTAATACAATATAGATTTTTTTTATTAGCCTATTAGCATCAACAGTACTTATTAGTAAAATATTTTGCAAACTAAATATAAATTACAGTTGAATAAAGATGTTATTAAAATATTGCATATACTATTGTGGAATGTCTATTTCTTGAATAGATTTGTGCCGATAGCAGTAACTTAAAATAAAAACCAATTTAAAATTATATTTGGTTTCAGCACCGAATGCTTTTAATTATATCTCATATTTAATCAAGTTTATTTTTAATAGCTTTTTCTTATAAAATATAAAAACCCATTAATCGAACTGTCTTCTATAAAGACAAAATAAAAGTTGTGTTTTGAAAGTCGACTTTAGAAACCCCAAAAGTGGTTTGTTATATCTCGTATTTAATCTTCAAAAACATAGGTTGACTGAAATTTAAATCTTCAGTACATTGTGAATTGATAGCGTACACGCATAGAACAGTATTTAGTTAAAAATATATTGAGAACCTCTTATATCGCTGTCTCTCTTTAAAGGTCCTAAGTCTTCTAGAAAATTATATAAAGATTCTATGCATATACGTTTGTTTATTTTTTTATGAAAAGGTGACAAAAATTCCGACCATATATTTAAAGTATTACAAGAATTAAATGTTATATCGAATCATCATCAAAGTCTTAAATTGTTATTAAATGTTTTGTCCCTCCTGTCACCTTTATAACACCTTAAACGTTCAACAATTTGAGGCTTTTGAGTGTGTATTTAGCGTCAGTCCATTCAAAGAATTTGTATTAATTTACAATAAATAAATAGTCACGAAAAATGTTAATTAAATTTGTAGTGGGATGTCAGAAGTCAGCATAAACTTTGAATGAAATAAAAACAAAACGTTATTGCATTATTTACGCTGTCTCTTTTCAACAGCATAAACAATCATACAGAAAGAGACGAGAGATTTAGATTTAGTTTTTATGAATGAAAATTATACCTAAACACAAGGCAATAAAGTCGAAATTACAGAGTCTTGATGTCGTAATTTGAGTGGTCTGTGATCTTTATAGCACGGTCTCCGAAGCCGCGTGTATCGCGAGCGCGGATCCGCGTAGCGAGCGCTAGTGTCCCCGTGTGACGTCACGCGGGGGACAAACACCCGACTCGACGTCCGATGCTGAGTTTGCTTTCGTCGTCTGTTTTGAATAATATTCATTACACACCCTTAGTTTTAATATACAGTCTGTCTCACTCAGCGTACATATGACAGAAAGAGACAGAAGAGTATTTTAAATGAGAGCAATTACTATCCTACCCCTGTAACCCTAATAAAAGAAATTTCTTTTAACACAATATTCAGCTATCATGCATCTATACATACAGCTATTCTGAATATAAATTTTTGTATTGTTAAAATAGCTGATAATGTAATTTTATTAAAATCAGTTTTGCAGTTTCCAATCGATTTTTTTTTATCCGGGTATCGAACAAAACCAAATAGATCAACAAAGTCTAGTTATAAGGAACAACATAATCAAAGAGTGATAATTTCTTGTACATTTCTCATGTAAATAAAAATACATTTTTTTGTAATGAGAAATAAAGTTCTTTAAATATTTAACATTACAAAAAAGCTTTATATAAACAGATAAAGAAAAGATAATACATAGATAAAACCAAACCACAAAAGCCCATTGAACCATCCATTAACCCACACCTGTTATTACTGTTAAACTGTTAGATACAAAAATTCTTGAAAAATCTTTACACCTGATTATATTCGACTAGTAAAAAGTACTTGCTTCCGTACGTCAGAAAAGTATTGAATTTGACACATGAATTTTACCTGAATAATTTTTAATATTAAAACTAAACCAGTTTAATTGCACTCGTCTAAAGTAATCCATCTCTTTCTCGCAAATTGTATTTACACTGTGATGAAAAGAGACAGATGAGTTAAAACTGTGCAATCACACTGATTTATTTTATGAATAAGGATACGTTGGCCCACCTTGAGCGCATGGGCCAAGATCGGGCGGTGGAGAAAGCCTAATGGTCGATGACCGGTAGGTCTCCTAGGTACCGCTGGATAGACAGAGGTGGAGGACCTGCGCAGGACTGTTGCTGGAAGTATCTCATTTCGGAGGCTAAGACACTTTTTGAGTCACAGCCGGAGTGATTGCGTTTTTTTCCAAACTTTTAATTCTTTATAATCAAGTTTCTTTTAAAAGTTACTATTACTCTTGGTCGTGATTTAGATTATCACTTTGGTATCGTTTGAAAATTATCATATTCGGTCTCCCATTCATATTAATCCTACTTATTTGGAGACTCAATCTCCTCCAACCGAAACAACAATCACTTGTTTTTTATTCACGATTTTGTACAAACACAAATAATGCTTTCATTTTAAAGTAACTCCTGCTTCTTATAAAATCATTTGCATCAATGTTTTGGCATAAATATAGCATTCGTTCCGTTTTCATTAAAAGGGCTGAAAACCCGAAGGACCAATTTCATTCGAACATTGTAACAAAGGGAGCGTTCAAGTATTACGTAACGCAATTATTGGAGATTATTGAACCCCCCCTATGTATCTCGCCGTAACGTTTTTCAGTACCCTAGTACAGTACTGTACTCAAGTATAGTAAAATGTTTCGTAAGCACCTTGTGTCTCTTTAGTTACTATAATGTGATGTAAGTAGAAAATACTATTAACAATAACGCGTAATTCAATCCCCGCCCCGCATCGTAACGTTTTACAAAAGGACCCCCCTCCCAAAAACGCGTTACGTAATACTTGAACGCTCTCATACCAGTTTTGAACTCAAATGTCAGTTCTATAATAAACTAATTCCCTTTCTTTACATACCCAAGCTCCGGCAGCATATGTCGGTCCTGAAGGGAATCAACTAATACAGGTTAGGGGAAGCAGTTAGTATGGTTAGTGCGACTTACGGGTTTAGCGTCACCTGAGCAGTCGTCGTGTAGCGGACACACCAGTTCGCCTAATTCCATGTCATCGCGACTCTTCTTGCGTTTCAGGGAGAACTGACTCCTCTTTGGCACCTGGGTTGGAATAAAATAAATAAACCAAAAAAATATTTTCACTTATATAAGGTAATAATTCTCATTGGTCTAGTGGTTAGTACACCTGACTGCAAATCCATGGGTCCCGGGTTCGATCCCCGGCTGAGACGAACATCGATGTGATGAGCATTTGGTGTTGTGCTTAGGTCTTGGGTGTTTAAATATGTATTTATATGTCTATCTATCTATAATATGTATGTATATCCGTTGCCTAGTACCCATAACACAAGCTTCACCAGCTTAGCATGGGACTAGGTCAATTGGTGTGAATTGTCTTTAAAAAAAAAAAAAAAATCTAAAAATCAAGAATATTTTCAATACAAAGTTTTTAGCAAACGTGTTAATAAGTTATAATTGACTAAAATGAAGATTCCATTCTAATAATAAGTATTTTAATAATAGTATTTGTTACAGTGGGCTATTTGACTGTATGCATAATAAAGTGTTATTGAGGCTTTAGAAAACGGTTTGGAGTAAAATACCTTGTAAATAATATATCAAAAAATATATCATTAAAAAATTTTTAAAGCTTTTTTATATACTTTTTGGTATTTTCTGCGACGTGTAAATATATAAAGATGAAAAAAAATAGACTCAAATGTTTTGAAAGCGAGAAACGAATTGTATTGGAAAATATTTTTTTTAATATATTATACATTATTCTCACCATTTTAACTTTCCCTAAACTGCCACAAATATTCCACAAAATTAGTCAAATCGATCCAACTATTCTCGAGTTCGCAATTCATTTTTATATATAGATCTATTTTATTAATTTATTACTTTTTTTTATGGCTCTGGCACGGTTTGTGCATTAGCCAGCGTCAAGTATAAGATTTTTATAATTCGTGCTTTTTGCCTTAGAAATTCGACCATGTCCTCCATGTACGGTTTAGGCACTCGCCCGGTACCGCACAACCCTCCCAAAAGCCGGGAACAAATTTAAATGAAAACTTGCCCTCGAACCGGGAATCGAACCCGGTACCCCTTACCTAGCTGCCACTTAATAAGACCGCTAGGCTATGAGGCCCCTAATTTATTACTTATGAATCCTTTGTTGAGGCAACAGGCGGGAATTTATAAAGCAATTTCACCTTGTATTTGGTTGTAGCTGTGAGTGGCTGATATCCTAAAGTTTGTTCCGCGTTACGTTTCTGCTGGATCACATCTCGGCCTAGGAGATCGTTGAATCTGAAATTTTTTAATCATAGAGTACTCAAATAATTATTTCATATCAATAAAAACTAAACCATTTACTCTTTTGTCTCTTTCTGTCCAATTCTGTTTACGCTAAGATAAAAGGATACAGATGATTAGTAACGTTTCTCATTTAAATAAATTTCGAAATCTTCTTATACAGTCTCGAATTGATATCATAAATAGTTCGACTTTGAAAAAGGTTAAATATAATCTTTTAATAAACTGTTATTGGGTATTAATTTAATGAATAAAAAAAAATTGAGAGATTTTTGGTTACAGTAAAATTCATACCTTTGAGTAAGATGTCGCCTAAGTAGAGTCTTATTTGCGGGGATGTTCAGTAAGGCAGCTAAAAGCTCAGCCGTGAAACGGGGTTCTAACAGCATCAGACCGCCGTGAACACCTGGAATGTTTATATTCAAATTCCATGTATGTATCTTCCTTATTTATAGAACAGGGCAAACGGGCAGGAGGCTCACTTATGTTAGTGAATGCCCATAGGCATTCTCAATGCCAGAGGGCTCGCGACAGCGTTGCCGGCCTTTTAGGAATTGTTACGCTTTTAGGGAGCGTTCACGTATACGTCACCCAATTTTGGAGATTATTGAATCCCCCCCATGTAACGCGCCGTAACGTTTTTCTGTACCCAAGTATAGTAAAACGTTTCGTGACCACCTAGTGACTCGACTTTATGTGGTGTAAAGAAAGTCGAAAATAATATTAACAATCCCCGCCCCGCATCAACGTTCTACAAAAAGACGCCCCCAAAATCGTTACGTAATACTTGAACGCAACCTTATCAACTTTATTTACGGGAATGTGAGAAACATACCTGCTCCCCTCAAATTAGGCGCGTACTCAGCCAAGTCGATCTCCTTCAGCCACTGCATCACCCTATGAGAGGACCACCTCGCCAGTTCCCCTGCTGGGGTACTCCCTCCCTGACTCTCATTTTCCGTCAACTCGGCTCCGACTAGGGAGACTTCACTCTCAGCTGCCCGACGTATCATTGTTTCGGGGTTGAATTTGTTGTCTCGGAGTACTTGGATACCTGGAAAAATTTAATAATTAAAAAACAATATTAGGCTTACCCTATACCCTAAATCACTATTCCAATACTGAGTATTCGTACTACGGTATTTTTAAAAAAAAAATCCTGAAGGTTTATTTTGAATAATTACCTCTCCGTATAGACAACGCGTGTAAGGCGTGCGTGACCCTCAAATGCGTGTAAAGGTCGGAATGCGTGAGCCGATGCAGAAGCCTGGCGTCGAGGGCCGCTTCAGCAGCCGCTGCACGTGCGCCGCACACGCCCACGTCTTCTAGCCAACGCAACGCCCACGCGCTATCGAGACGACCCGACGCCGTTAATAATGGGTCGCCATGCCCTCCCTGGAAATTTAAAGAATTTCCATTTAAAAAAAATTAACCATAAATTATAAAAAATCTATTGTCTATTTCGGTTCTTTTAAAAGATTTGCCACCATTAATTTGACAATTAAAGTAACGAAACCTAATTGAATTTTTCCACAGACTAAAAGAAAAGTTCACCTCTAATATATATTTTGTCTGATTTGCACAGGACAAAAAAAAATATCATAATTTCAATAGCTTCTCTACTCAACAAACAAGTGACAGTCAACCTTTTTTGTGCCCTGCCCTATACCTGCCTAACAAACATACAACCCCCCTATGTATGTTTACATAATTTTTACTATTAAAAATTTAATTCACTTAAGAAATCTAAATTATAGGTTTTAGGAAGAAATTACTAGGAAACTGTTAACGAAACACACTCAAGTTAATTTTCAAAACATACAATGAAAATGTGAAATTTAAATTCCGAAAAAAAAATTTAAAGGCCCCCTTCCCCTTAACTATCAAATTGCCCCCGTGTGGAGTGTGGGCCTCACGTTGGAAAGCACTGATCTAAATTAATTTAATTATAAGTTCAGAAAATGTTTTAGTTATATATAAATTGTACATATTTTCATTAGCAATTCCCCAAAACTCACCAAAAGATCAGTCAATGCCAGCACAATCTTCTTCTTGTGCATGGGATGTTTGATGGCCAGTTCCTTCTCTATTGCCTGTTGTGATGCTGCAGCAATAACTCCCTTCGCATCAGACGCGCCAAGCCAAGTTCTAGCGGTTGGCACGTATATCTCTAGACCAAGGTGCTCGAGCCAACCACAAGTAGTTTCACAGTCCCATTGGCGAACATCGGTAGTTTGCCTATGTTATTGATAAAAATAAACCAATTTTATCTTTTAACTCGAAATATTACTCCATAAATGAAATGTTACATTAATAATCATATTAATTATAACATATAGATATTTTATTAATTTATCAAAACTTAGATACATTCATTACAAATAAAAAAAGCGGGCGACCTTATCGCTAACAAACGACCATCTCTTCCAGGCAATCCTAGTATGAAAAAAAAACTAAAAATAAGAAATACTAAGGGTGCAACAATGTGCTAAATAACTAAATATGGACCTCACTCTCATTTAGATTCTTTGGATATACCAAACAAGAGGACCTTTTTTGTTGTTGACTCTTACGTCATAGTTCGACAGTAATTTTGACGCTTATAATATAAATAAGAATTATATTACTTCATAACTACCACGGAGGTACTCTTCCAGCACAGATATTTAAACTCACCAGGGCATATTCTGCGTCCGTTGCCTAGGCGCAGACACTCTTAGCGATGATCGTGAGAGCTCATCTCCTTCCAACCTCACTCCGCCACTGCCAAGTCTAGCTCGCACTTCCCGTAATGAGGGAGATGGACTGCCACGTGGTAATGCTTCTTCTTTTTCCGCTACATAAATTATACTTTATATTATTAAAAATAGTAATAATAATAGTCGCCATAGTCTGTAGGTGACTAGTGAATTAGTCTATATAAATAAAAATTCTTTATATAGACCAATTCCAGTATTTTTTGAAGTGAAACTTCTTTATCGAGGTTGGAAAAAAATTTAGTGTAACATTTTTTCGTTACGCGTCACGTTTTTCGGTTACGCGCCATGTTCCTTTTGAAGTCAAACTTCTTTATCGGCGTTGGAAAAAAAATTACCGTCACATTATTTATTATTGAAGTGAAACGACGTATGGGAGAAATTTTGTAGCAAATCGTCACGTTTTCAATGATAGTAATAATTATATTACAATTAATGAAATTCTATAATCATCTTCGTAGTAATAAGGTAAAATGAAATATTTGTATTCATATCTATGATAATAAAAGCCTTTTGTTAAACTTTATCTAATTTAACGAATTTCTGTAAAGTTGCATATAGTAGATCATTTTTCGAAAAACAAGATCATAAAGAAGTTTCACTTCTTACGTGTGTACACCTAGTACACGCACACATTTTTTTAAATTCTTTAAACTCTGAGGAAGGTTTTTAATGAGATAAAAATTGTACATAAAATAAATTTAGCTTTAGTACTTAGGTTTTGAAACTAAATGACTAAGAAAAAAGACGTTGTTACATAATATACAAAAAGGCTAAAATGGAAATGGGCCGGTCACATAGGCCGCATTTGTGATGGCAGATGGGTCAAAAAGACCCTTACTTGGAAGGGCCCAGTGGGAAAAAGAAAGAGAGGATGCCCACCAAAGACTTGGGAAGATGCAATCAAAGAGATAGCGGGAAAAAACTGGGACCGCAACAAATAGGGACAAATGGAAGAATCTGGAGGAGGCCTTCACTCCGTCGGAGGTCGAGTACTAGTGTAAAACTTAAAAGACATGGACTTTCTCGAATAAAGGCTATTTTTATTTTTTTATTTATTTTATTTACTTAGGTTATCATTCTGGAAACTTGACATGTATCTATGGGGTATAGCAAAATGTAACATATGCTGGTATGTAGCTAATAAAAAGGTAGTCTACGTATCATATTAAGGCGAAACGAAGTTCGCAGGGCAAAAACATTATATGTATATATTTGTATAAGTTTGTAATTACGTCTTACTATATGGCAATGTTAAGATTTTATACATCAAGACTGATCATTAAAACTGAAATATAAACATAAATTAGAAATAAACAAACAATTGTTTTGTTAACAAAAAAAACTTTACCAACTGTTTTATTTCTATTCAAAATTGACTTTATGTCTTGAAAATGGAATTTCGTCTTTAACTAACGTTACTTTAACGTCGTCAACTTTCTAACTTTAAGTAACAAAGAAGTTTTAAAGACTTAAGCGAACAAACGGGACGTGATATATTCATGTAGCAAAAACATTTACATTCCTCTTCGAACAATTATTTGTTTAAATCGTAAATAAAATGTGAGATTCCAAAAACATTAGGAAATTCTACAACCTACAATACATAATATAATCACAAAGTTAAAAAATCAAATTAAAAACGATTTAAACAACTATTACGAAACAACATAGATCAAAGCGGATTTTAAGTATTTTTTAAATATGTAGCTAATTAAAAGCGTGCAATTTTAAACAAAAAAAATATTTTATTTAAAATTATATATCAAAATATTGATTTAATAAAATTAAAAAAGGCTATGTATACGGATTTTCAGAACTAATAATTAATAATTTAAATAGTTTAAGACTGGAATTCATGTAGATCGTCTAAAGCAGTGATTCCCAAGCTTTTTTGTTCTTTTTTATGACCCACCTTAGCCAACCTAAAATTCTTATGCCCCCTCTATGTAACATACATAATCTATATATGTATATAAAAAATTTAATTGTTTATTTAAGAAATTTAAATGATAGGTTTTAGGAAGAAATCACTAGGATATTGTTAACGAAAATAAGTAAATTTTCATGAAAAACTTAAATTCCAAATAATTTAAAAAAAGATTTTTCTATATTATATTGATATTCTTGCGCTTGATGCTTGCTGCACAGAGATTATAATATATTGTGTTCCAATTTGGTTATCTTTATTCTCAAGTCTTCATGTTGTGTTATATTCAACTGATTTTGATTGCTCCCTTCTGGGGCGTGGGCCCCACGTTGGGAACATTCATCTAAAGTGAACACGACTAGATTTAACCAGACCGAGTTCGGACCTAACCGTGGTCCTTATACTATGGATCCAGTCTAAATAAGGCCAAGTAATAATATTGTTCATACTGTTTAGATAATTTTGTATTATGTGGCATTGAAAAATACATACAACCCTTAATTTTCACCCCTCTACGATCAACCCCTATTTTTTATTATAGTAGATAGCATTTTTATTGAACTAAAAAATGTTTCCTAGCAATAATATACATGGCAAAACAACGTTTGCCGGGTCAGCTAGTATTACATAAACAAATAAAGTCAGTATCGCCGTTGCTATTGGAAGTTATTAAATATAGTTATTGGAAGAATACGCGGGATATAAGCAAAGGGTGTCGCATGCCATAGACCCTAGAGACCTAAATTGGGTACGGAGTGACCCTTTCCACGCGCCACCACCATGTTGTTTTTACCGAAGGCCAGCCGCGCCTCCACTGTCGCCGACGGAAGCACAGACGAGCGTGGTAGGGAGGAATACATGTGCGTGTTACGCTCGATTTGACGCCCGTAGTTTGCTGGCGGAGTCTGAAAACGTTATAATGTGGTTATTCGGTAATGTATATGTGACAAATAGGTAAGACCTGCTGTTTTTCGCATGATTACACCATTCCTTTAATATTATTTTTATGCCAGACAAAAACAACCCGCAACCTTTCTGACTAGACATTTTTATCATGGTCCTCAATTTTCTAGAATAGGATTAGATTAATATTATAAAAAAATTAAGATTCTTTGTAGGTACTTAAAATACCCGTGATTTTAAGTACCTACAAAGAATCTTAATGAGAGTGAGAGGGGGGGGGTAGTCTCAAAACTCACCACGTATCACCATGGGGTAGGGAGGAGTTAAAAAATGTTAATAAAACATCACGTGATTAATGGACAGCCCTTATGTAAAATGTACAATCCATCTGGATTGATGGAGGATGGGACGGGCTTTGGTATGGGATGCTACTTATGTGGCACGTTAGCCCCTGCTCACCTCCCTTGGACCACCACAATTCGAACTCACACAGCGGTTTTCACAGCGGAGGTCGCGCTCAAATCAGTCGTAAAGCAGTCATTTTACGATTTGGCATTCTTATAAACAATAAGAGAGTTCGTAAAGTGAGTTACAGAATCGCAAGGCAGAGCTAGTGCTTTCCTCGCTCAATAAGTATCGCGATATAGCGAGGAAATGCTGCCAGCATTAAAGGTTAACAGGGGCAATTTTTGATATGTTTTAATTTTCTAATTATCATTATTTATTATTGTTATTACTATGTAGGTTAAGAATATTGTGAACTGTATATTTGTGTCTCGGAAACAAACTATATAAACTAAGAAAAAAATGGAGTGACCTCTAATGACCGGAACTTTGCAAAAGTTTTCTACGGGCTAAACCCATCATAATATTATTTTTTTCGGAACAAAAACAGTCGCCAATAGGCGTAGTAATATAGAACAAAAATCTAGGTTAGTTGGAGACTAAAATTGTCGAGAACGTCTAAATGCCTCATTAGGCCTCAATTTGAGAGCAGAGCGGCTCATTAGTCCCCTTGTTACTGCTGGTTGATAATGTTGTTTAGTATTCGAGATACGTCCTACAATTATGAGAGACTATTGCGATGGTAATACTTGTACATGTACATTAATTATTAAAATAACATTTAAATTTTAAGCCCTTATACAAGGTGTCTCAACAGCAAGTTCATATTTAGTTGATCGATATAAAAAAAAGTAAGTCGTGTATCAAAAAAGTGTTTATTCATTATTAAAGAACACATTTTGGGAATTTATTTCTTAAAAATAATACCGTCCAAAGGTAGACCCTCGCGTTCGCGGCACTCATTTAATCGAACTTATGACAGCTCGGCAGGTGGACACAGTAATGGCTGCCATTTCGTGACGGATATTTTCGTTCAATTGCGAAAGTCGGGAAGTCGGTTTATTGGCGTAGACTTTAGATTTAAGATAACCCCATAAGAAAAAATCCATAGGGGTTAAATCAGGACTGCCTGGAGGCCAATTTATGTCACCTCTCCTGGAGATCAATTTGCCTGATAAAATTTCACGAACTCGTGGCAGACAGACAGTGGCGTCGTAATGGACCTGCAATACATCTCTGCCAAAAGACGTCCAATACGTCTCTCCGTTGTTATTCGACAAATTTAATGTTTTTTTTTTTGCATTTTCACTCTAGTTTTATGCTCTCCCGCTCTAGACTTTAGAATTATATATAAACTATAATTTAATCATTAAAAAATGCAATAACATACCCTCGGAGGAGCCGGTCTAGCAATAGGCGTGGAGTCAGGCGGTGGTGACCGCTCTAAGACACCTCTTTCCGCTGCCCGTAATCTCACTTCGCTTAACTTTGATAACAACTCCAACTTCTGTGTTTCGAGTGACGACCGTTGCAGCATTTCCTGTTGACATACATAATATTATACTAGCTGTCCCCAACGATTTCTGCAGTTTAAGAGTGATATTATATAGCCGAGCCTGTCCAGGCATTCTTTGATATGAGTATGCGACACAAAAAGAAAATTTTTATTCGAAGCAATTAATATATTACCGCGTTGCTCTGCGTTCCTACTTAGCAACGTCAAAAAAAGAAATATTAAATGCTTCTAAATTTACATTTACTGTCAGTTCTCAAATCAAGGGCGTAGAACGGAAGAGAAGAACTGGCAATAAACTCTCCGCCACTCTTTTTAATCGCCAAGTTTTTTGTTTTACACAATGTTTGTAAGGAGCTGCAACCATTACACCATGTTCCACATAAAGACAAGGGAGCCAGGCTGGGGTAAAGTAGCCCCCCTTGACAATCGAAAAAAACCTATTTTTAATGATTATTTTGTCAACTTTATTTCTTAATATATCTTTTTAGTCAATGTGGTTTCGTGTTTTATTCATTGTCATCAAAACCATGTGGAATCACATTTCCCCATCCTCTCTGTACCTACTACTGGTCACCCTTGACGATCAGCTGGCGACGCTCTTGTCTACATTCTTCTATTCTCGTTACTCAGAGAGATTTATTTATTCAATACTGTTATTCCTATCATGGAACAATATATATTAGCTATAAAGGATCAATTGGCCTTTAAAAAAAGATCGTTGAATGAATCGCATCCGTTCCATACTTCGGCGATTTACGGAATGACACAGGTAGCAACTAACCCTATATATTATGTTAAAACCGAATCACATTTATTACAATTTAAACTAACTACGTACTAGTTCTCATACTTCTGATCAGTGCTTTATAGCAAACATTTGTGTAATAAAACTGTATTTTTCATCAGTAAAATCCCTAAAAACAGAAGTACTGGAATTAAAACAGTGTCTGTCTGATTTGATATTTTTAAATAAGGGTAAAGGGACTTATGATCTAACTTCAGAAAAATAAACGTTTGAAATAAAAATTATTCTAAAATTATCGAAATAAAACGAACGCGTTAATAGTCGAATAAATACAAGCTCCTAACAATCCTTATCTTCGAGGAGTTACGTATTCGTTTTGGCAGGTCACAGACTATTAGCAGTGGGACCCATTTTCCAGCTCATAATAAAAACTGTGCCATAACCCACGGAAGCAATTAAAATACCCACTGCGCACTTGCTAAGCTATGAAACTTGAAAAGCTTTCAGTCCATTTTTCTTTGTTACATTATGAACTTGCGTGCACTAGTTTTCATATTTCAATATTATACTTATTCAATATATATATATATAATATATATTCTATATTACAAGCAATTGTCTGCGTCATTCTAGGATAAAATATATTTATTGTTAATTAGGTATATGCAAATACTACGTATTTAACATCGCAGAATAATTAATAACGTTTATAAAATACATAAATCGTAAGTGACCACTATTTTATAATGTAAAACTCACACGTTACTGGGTTTTAAATAAATAAATATTAATGAAATTAAATTAAACATGCTTAAGGATCAAATCTTAACCCTACATCTGTTAAAAGCAACACTAATTTCATTATAATACCTAATGCCTTGAGGCACCTCTTATTCGAATTCTTCGCGAATATAACAGAATAAACACTATTTATCCCGAGGTTAATATATTCGGTAGTGAGTTGATCAATTAAAATAAGCATTGTTACGTGCCTATCTCATACCTAATCCGGATTGTTAAGCAAAATTTACTAGTAAAAACTAAAATTAGAAGTGTAATATTTTTACTGTATTTTTTGTAAAATTTATGTTCACCATAAATGTCGTGTATTTTAGAATAGAGAGATTGTAACTGATACTATAGAAAATACATTATACTCGTATATGATGTGTTATACAGTCAAACCTGAGTAAGTGACAACTGGGTTAGTGAGAAAACTCTATTAATGAGAGTATTAACCGGGTTCCGTCATTTTGCCCTCCTAAAACCTCTATAAGTGAGAAACATGAAACCCGTATAAGTGACAGTCATTTTTCACGCGTGAACCTCTAGAAGTGATCCTGATAGTTGTGTATACCTCTGTAAGCGACAGTTAAACGTTTTAACTTTTGCTATTTAAGACTCATTCTCTATACTATCTGTACTCTTATTTAATTCAAACCAAATGTGCGTCTGTTATTGTTTTCTAAAGTTTTATAGACCTCTGTATGTGAGACAGACCCTTTCTGTAACTCTGTAAGCTAGAAACTCGGGTTAGTGAGAAATCTCTATAAGAGAAAATAAGATCGCGGTCCCTTAAGTTCTCACTTATCCATATTTGACTGTATATAAATAAGTATGACAACCGAGTCCGTGGCTTAAAGATTGACATGGCGTGTAACTTGAAATACCTAGGATCGATTCCCACAAAATTCAATTAATTTTACAGAAAACTATCGTGATTTAAAATTTGTGTCATGTTATACGAGGGCGGCACTGAAAATTTCGGGAATCAAGGAAGTGACACAACATTACTATTTAAAAATGTATTTATTGCTTTTCGAAGTATTCTCCGCGAAATTTGACACATTTTTCATACGATGGAACCAATCATTGAAGCAACCATTCCATTCGGAAGTTGGGGTCTCCAAAATGGCCGTTTTGTAGGCGTCCACAGCTTCTTCAGGTGATGAAAATCTCTGACCACGCAATTTATTCTTTATTTTAGGGAAAGTATAGAAATCATTAGGGCTTAGGTCGGGGCTGTATGGCGGATGGTCTAATAATTCTATGTTTTCTTGCTCTAAAAACTCTTTTGTTCTGTGCGCGGTGTGAGAACTCGCATTGTCGTGATGGAGGATGATGCGGCGGTTGCAGTTCTCTTTACGGAGTTCAGAAACGACCTGTGGCAAACAAATGCTAGCATACCATTCTGCATTAAGCGTTTTTTGTCCCTCAAGAGGAATAGTCGCGACATGGCCGGTTTTGGAGACAAACGTGGCCACCATTTTTTTTGCAACACTCCGTGAACGAACAATTTTCATTGGCTTTAACTCATTTTCGAACACCCAAACTCGTGACTGGTTTTTTGTTTCGGGTTCGTACGCGTATATCCAGGATTCGTCACCTGATACGATGTTGTATACAGCATTTGAGGATCCTGCATGGAATCTTTCGAGAGTTCTGACGCACCAAGTAACGCGAGCCGCTTTTTGCTCTTCACAGAGCGAATGCGGTATCCATCGGGAAAACAACTTTTTTATACCTAATTGTTCATGCAAGATCATTTGTATTTGACTCATGCCAATGTCTAAAGTTGCCTGAATTTCGCGGTATGTCACATGTCGATCTTCCTCAATCAGCTTACGCACAGCATCAACGTTTTCTTGGGTGACTGCAGTTTTTGGACGACCTTGACGGGGATCATCACTGAGCTTGACACGTCCACCTTGAAATTCAGCAAACCAGCGATAAATTGTTGTTTTGGATGGGGCTTCATCACCAAATGCAGAAATCATCCGGTACTGTTTTTGTGATAAACCACTTCGAAAGTCATAATAAATCATCCCTCTTGAATTTTCTCGAGTCAATTCCATTTTCTCAACGACTAAACAAGTTTGACAAAACTTTGTGAAAAGTTTGTTCGATTTAAAAAAAAAGGAGTTTTCAATTAAAAATATTTAAATAAGATAGGAACAGTGGTATTATTCCATTCCCGATACTTTTAGTGCAGCCTATGTATATTATAACATATTCCTTAGGAATAATTACCAAAACCCCAATAAGGTTAAGATGTATTTAATATGCAGAGAGCTCTTGAATGCTGTTGAGGGTTATTGCCACCTAGGTTCTATGAAGATTAGATAAGGTAGGATAAAATCTAATATATAAATTCTGGTGTTTCTAATTAAACTCCTCCGAAATGGTTGTGCATTAAATAATGTAAAATTTGTGTGCATATCGGTTAGGTCTGCGAATTGAACAAAATCTATTTTTCATCCCCCTAAATGTTAAGTCGACCCCTAAATTTTTTATAAAGAATTTTATATGAAAACCAAACTTTGTGACGTCATAATAATCGGTTGTTCAATTAAGCGGAGTCATAATAAACGGTATATATTGTAATAATAATAATCCAGTTGCGCTACCCCTAAATGGGTCTTGGACTTATTTTACTTATTATATTATTTTATTATATTTATCTTATTGGGCCTTGACTGCAAACGTTTCTTTGATCATTTTTATTTAATCGACAAGAAGGTATACAGCCTTCTGTTTCATTCACAGTACAAGCGCATATAGAAAGTACATTGGTGCACGGGGATTGAACGAGTCATAATTCGCGCTACGTTCGACTCCGGAACCTCATCCTTCTAGAGGATTTTATTTACGAAACGAAGCCATAAACTCGGAAGCAATGTTTATACGTAAACAGAAATTTCCTCGAGAATATAAACAGAGCAGCTTTATCAATCAGACATTTAATAGCTTCTACTCTTATCTCGTTTAAAATGCACGCCGCTGCAGGGAAATGGAGTACGAAATTAGAGGCTATAAATTTTATCTGTCTTGCTGTATTGTTAGCATAAGAACATCCTACGAGAGAGATATCACTACCAATAATTACAAATGTACACGAACATCGACAATAATACTTAGTATACAAAATAATAATAGTAAAAATTAGCAGTCTTTTATAAAAAAACATAGTAAATAAAAAAATAAAAAAATTGTGAAATAAATATTTTTGGGCATATTAAAAACTATATTTCGTGGGATTTTTGATATTACACATTATACATAAAGTCTAATGAAGATAGAAAACCCGGTAGTCCGAGGCTGTGTTGCTGAGATGGAGTCAAGGATCTCGAAACAATAGGTGTTCGAAGTTGGCAAGAAGCACGAGATATATTGTGATAGCGAAATATTCTTGCGAAGACTTGCCCCACAAGGGGCTGTACAGCCATTGATGATGAGATAATAAAGTTATATTTTTAATAAAACAAATGCAAATGCTGATGGCTCAGCTGATGTTAAGTGATACCGCCATTAACATCGCCAGAGGGCAAAGGCTATTTCCATTTAATTATTTTTACGCCAGTGCTCAAATCGAAGACCACGGAGTTACTACGAAACATATTACTACTTATATTATACACAACTATAACAAGCTTGATTTGAATGAATGAATTCTTATACACACACAAAACTAGGAAGTAGATACTCTGAATATAAATACCAACAACATTTGCCAACGTTACTGTGTACGTTAGCTACTAATAACTAAAATTAACTCCAATTATCGAAACCAACATCAATTCATGGCCTTACGTTGTATTGCAATTACTATAACATGTAACTACTTAAATAACACTGTAAAAACGCTTAGGAATTGTTTAAATGTCTTCCTGAGTAATTAATTAAAAACCATGCAATTAAATTATGAAAGAATTCACTTTGTTTATTGAGTTGGAAATAAACTGAAGCAAAAATGTTTACTTTGCTTAGGGTCAATTCGACCAAACTTCAATTTATACACGAGTAACTATACCAGGAATAATCTATTCCATGATTTTAATCTCGAGTAAATCCATAGTCGTTTCTCCACGTAATCGATAGTATAATTGCGCTAGGAATAACATACGCGAATAGCAAAGAGAACGGTGAACGAAAATAAAACTCGTCAAATAAATGTTGTTCTACAACGGGACAGTGTAAGAGCATACATCATGGCAACTCGATTTTGCCGTATTATAGTGTGAAAACGTAGCTTTTAACAGGTGTCAAACGACAACAAAAAGTTTTAATTTGTTGTCTGTTTGAGGCTTTCGTCTAAAAAGGAACTTCTGGTGAGCCTAGTTGAATTTCATTCTAATATTATAGAAAATAAAACTACTAAAAATAAATAAATAAATAATAAATTGTTTAAACGTTTCATTATACAATGCCAGTCTATTAATTTAGTGCGTTGCGTTGACTTGAAATTAAAACACAGAATACATATTTGTGAAATGACAGAAATCAGATGATTGGACTGACTGACGCCATTAAATTATTCTAGGTATAGCTGTTATTCCGTGCGAAACGGCGTGAAAAGTGTAGTAAAATTAAAGTGTAAGATTCAGAATCGAGAATAGCGTATGTAAGGACATACGGAATTCAAGTCTTCACTTAGCCCTTTGGGTCAAATGTAGTCATTCAAATTTGACCTCCTTCCTGTTGACGGATTGATTTGAAATTTGGTAACCTGATAACAATATAATTTAATACATCAATCGGTATCCTAGGAACTCCTAGGTACCAGTTATTTTGTCTGATCAATGCCCTAGAATCTAGATGATGAAAGCGTGTGATGACTGGTACCTAAGTCCTATCGAATTATTATTAAGCTTTTAGTACAACAATCTTCCAATTAATAAAAGGCCGGCAACGTACTCGCGAGCCCTCTGGCATTGAGAGTGTCCATGGATATCACTTAACATGAGTGAGCCTCCTGCCCGTGTGCTTTTGTTCTATTTGTAAAAAAAACTTTTTCCCACATTTTTTATTTACCCTTAATCTAAATCTCTTTGGCTATTTAAAAAGACCAACCCTTGTCAACAAGAGAGACATTCGTTAATATTATCTTATTTACTATATTGAGTTTATACAAAATCTACTCAGAAATCGCTGCTTCAATTACGACCCATACAAATCCTGCCTACGCCTAATAGAAACGGCTTGAGTCATCATTACTTTTAGTTATATAACGCACAACGCTGTAAACGGTCCAAATCAATCTGACGAGAAACAGACGTTCTCTGAAAATAACATTTAAATGTTCTTAAATGATTTTTCGTCTTAAGGCGATAAGGAGTTGCTTTTAATGCCATCATAAAATTAGGTATAATGCCCCTCTAAAATGGGCATATATTATTCGCTGTATTACTAATCAACGAATTACATAGGACCTATTCTGTCATTGAGTGAACTGACAAAAGTTAAGTTAGTAATCATTAATTTCTGTTTTTATTTCGTGAGTTATTTTTTAATGGATATGCTTTTTGATTTAGGATCACCTGTTAAGACACGATGTTGATTATGTTTTTTAGAAAGAAATAAATATTTATTTGACTATTAAAATGGATAATTGTTTTATGTAATTAGTAAAATAAACCCACAACCAATAACTTTGATGCAAGGTGAAAGAAATAAATGGATACTTAGATATTTATATCGAAAAGATATTTATCAAACTAAGTGGCGTTACCACAGATTATAGGTAATTAGATTGTCATGTAACGACAAGTATACATATAGTTTTAGAATATGTAAAGTAAATTTTTGCAATAAATTCAACAACGAGAAATGTCAGAAATTATTCACCATTCCAATGCATTATCCCTTTGTAACATACTGTATATATTTACGAGAGTTTTTTTGTAGGGAAATTAATTATCGGACCACCCTCGTATTTAAAAAAAATAATATTCGAAGCCGAGCCACTAAATATCTTTATATATAAAATTAAATAAATCAGTGGCGCTACAACCTTTTCAGGTCTGGGCCTTAGATTTCTGTATCTGTTTTCAGTGTCAATCTCCAAGGCAAGAAGCAGCCTCCTGTTACACACACACCGTCGACGTTTTCGGTCTAAGGCAAACCGGTTTCCTTACGATGTTTTTCTATCTCCATTCGAGCGAATGTTAAATGCGCGCATAGAAACAAAGTCCATTCCACAGCCGGGGATCGAACCCACGACTTTAGGGATGAGAGTCGACTCTGAAGCCACTAGGCTAACACTGCTCTATTTATATAAATATTTAGCAAAAAAATATAATTAAGAATTAATTCAATTCAATAACAAATGATTATTTTAAAACACCAATTGAGCTATAGAGCGCATTCTTCTAAGTGTAATTCACTTGTTTACTAAGTACGTCAAGAAATTGCACGGCCCAATCATGTTTATTCAATCACGATTCTCAGTGTGCTTTAAATGCTAAGTAGATTCACACCTGATTTGAATAATTCAGTTCTAGTACCGTTGCTTCTCAATCTAATTTTCTTCGTACAAATGAATTTCAAGACATCAAAGTACAAAGTAAATGTTTTTTATTTCAACACAAAATATAATCGTATTAACTCAATTTCAAAACCACATCTTAAATAAAATAGAAATCTCATTTATCTTACGTACACGTTGCGAAATTATATTTATTTAAAAATTTTAACGGCGGCTTGACGGCTCATTGGTCTAGAGGTTAGTACCCCTGACTGCGAATCCATGGGTCCCGGGTTCGATCCCCGGCTGAGACAAAACATCGATGTGATGAGCATTTGGTGTTGTGCTTAGGTCTTGGGTGTTCAAATATGTATTTATATGTGTATCTATCTATAATATGTATGTATATCCGTTGCCTAGTACCCATAACACAAGCTTCACCAGCTTAGCATGGGACAAGATCAATTGGTTTGAATTGTCCAATAAAAAAAAATAAAAAATAATAATTACCTTTTGAAGCCTCTGTTCAGTGTCATCCAGTCTTTGCCGTGCGTCGTGTAGTGTTCGCTCCAGGTCAGCCATTTTTTCAGTCTGCGCTGTGATCTGCTCTGACAGCACCTGAACTTGCAGCTGTAAACTGTCTTTGTCCGACTCCAGGCGACGCACACGATCTTCAGCGTCATTCTGAAACATTACAAACCTCAATTATTATACAATTGGTTATAATAATACACAACGAAACATTTTACGCTTAGGTTAGGTTACAGTTATTCACTACTCACAACAGCCATATTTTTTTTTTTCCTGTGGCGGTATACCATCTGTATTCAACATTCATAGAAATTTGTTTTGTTTACAAACAAAACATAGTTTAATATTGTGTTAATTGTTTGTTACACTGTTAGACCACCTAAAACCAGCAATACCTTGTACGGACGCGATGGCGTTGTCGCAAGAGACGGGTGTGACGGCCAAGAGTGTTCAGAATGCATGCAGCATGGTGGTGGAGGCGGCGGTCCATGACACCAGCACATCGGAGGCCACCAACCACCTTCCGGCCAACGGAACTGCTCGTAGGAGTTCCAGCGTCGCTGTAAGTCTGGTTGGGCCTCCTCATCACGTGAACGCCTTGGTCTTGGGGAAACCCTGAGGCTCGATGGATGTTGCGGCGGTTTTGTGGATAACGACGACCTTGTTTTACGATCTCGCTCACCACGGTCGCTTGGCGCGCGACGTCTTCTTTCTAAGCTCGCCGAGTTGTAATTATCTCCGCGTGAGCCAGCTGACTGAACTTCCACAGTATCGTCCATTATTTCACCGCTTTGTAACCATTTAAAATCACCATCACATCGTGTACTATTATCAATACCTCTGTTCGGCGTGAGCGTCCGATAATCAGTACGACAATCACGTGTCACATATTCCTGACCTTCAGAGTCATCTTCACTTGTTGAAGTATCGGATTCAGAGGAATCACTTTGCTGAGGTGGCACTGTTTGATTATTCCATCCAGAACATTTTACCGTTGTCTCATCAGGGCTGTCCGAGTCACCACCTATTATCACACTTTAATTAAGATACAGCGACACGCTGAAAGTCTCATACACGACTGCGAATCATCACGTACCCATAGGCGAATACATGTAGGAACGAACCGCAGGATGGACGTATCCCACTGCAGTCCGTTCCTCATCATCTTCATCCTCAAAGGGTTCTGTGAGAAATTCACGGTCGGACATGAGTCTTCACGATAACGACACTGCGCGACAAGCTCTCAGTACAAGTCACAAACGCTCCTCTATTTTAAAGCTTGGCCACGTTCCAGTGTTATACGTCATTGAAACGTTTACAAAGCGTATTACGTACTCTCGTGTAAGGGAGGTTCCTCGCTAGATTGAATGGAGACTGAATCGCGTTCAGATGTTTCCGATGCCGTTGACAGGGGACGTTCACTGATCCCAGAAGCACGCCGAATTCTATCGTCATAAATATTATTCCTTGGAGACCGCAACACGTTTCTTTCCACCTCGGCAGCTGGCCGTGTATTGACCGGTTGAGATTTAGCATCGATGGTCGAACGATTATTCAACGTTGCAATAGTGGCAGCCACAATTGATCCCCCGCGGCCGAGCTCACGCATGTTTTACTTCGAAATGAGTGGCGCCTAATCGAACACGGTGAACGTAAGTCGAAAATAGACCACGGTAAATCCGTGCCGTTCTAAACACCCTTCACACTTTGATCCTTTTATTGAGCATAAGTGTTATAGCTTTTTCACATAAACAAGCCGTTAGAGTTGAAACACGAGTATTATTATTACTAAAATTTGCGTTAAGTAAACATGTATAATGTTTTGCCTAAGCGCATGTATCGTGCGGCGCGATGCACACAAGTAACAACACTTGCGCACTCACCGGTTGCCAGTTAACGCCTTCGTATAGAGACCGCCCCCGCCCATCGGTTTCCTCGTCGTAGTTTAATGAATGCTGCACGGTGTAGCGCAGTCCTCCGGGGAAATAGTAACTTGTTTTGCTTTCATAGTTTTCATACATGAACTCAGGATTGTATGGGGGTTGCACTGAGTAGTAGGAAGGTATTCTTGATTCGTCATTGTTACGTCTCTTGCTCTTGGGGGTGAGACAGTTCATTCTCTTCGTAAATCTGAAGGGCCTTAACCAAAATATAAATAAAATCATATATTTTTCAGTCAACCTATAAAATATAAATACAACAAATGATTAAGTACACATTGGTATAGCTATTTTACGCAGATACGGAAAGACGAGTCACGTGTACTGTTGAATATTTCGGATAATAAACCTCCCCTCGAGTCGGAAATAGACGACAGCTGTCTCCTTCGTTAATGTATATGAAATAGATTTTTATACATTTGTAAGCTTATGAACTCAGATAAGAGGAAATAGTCATTTTGCTTGAGAATTCTAAAAGGGAGTTTTCGAAATATGTCAAAACTTTTAGTATGCAACCGAATATACGCTATATTTAGAATTTGAATTTAGAATTCACGTTATTCCAATGGAGTAGTCAAATTGTTTCATTATTCACTTGGAAGCATATGAATTGCGTTCTATGTCGGGAATCGCTTCTGGGAACTCCGATCTTGTGTGTTATCAACTATCACAGATAGAAATGATGAAAATCCATGAAAATGCAAAAAAACGTGATATATTCCCTATTGATCTATCAATTTTCTACTGCTTTAAGTATCTATTGATTATTTAAAAAAAAACTAATTTTCTTAAATATTAGATTTTAATTATTTCTTAATAAAATTTAACTACTAATCTATGTATAATTAACTTAAAGAAGTGAAAGCATAATAAAATTGTCCTTATGTTAATGAAATTTCTGAGCTTCGGCTCGGTCATAATAGCGTTTACGAGAACGGCTTCCATTCCTTAATGTATTGGAAAATTTAATGAACTAGAACCTTTACATTTAAATGCTATGAAATACCTATTTTGAGCAGTTATTAATAGGCAATAAATTGTATTAGTTATGGAACACGGCAAATATTAGTAATGTGTATTTATGCCTCTTATATTTTTTTAAATCGCTTTTTCTCCTTCCAAGGCCCTTTCATCTTTAACCACTTTCTTAAAAAACATTTTTCACTAACGTTACAAAACTCACATACAAGAAATCTTAAACAACATGTTGTCAATCAGTCCTATTCTGATACAGAAGATATTGACAAAAGGAAGAGACTGGCTGCAACACAGAATCATGTATAATAGTTGTCTCTTGCTTTCATATTATTATTATATAACTGATCAACGAATCTAGGACCTCTGCTTCTAACTCGAAATATATGCTTCCCACTTCAACCTAATGTTTTAAACGTCCATTATTTCAGAAAGAAAATGGCTTATAAGTAAATCACTTCGGGTCACTAGCTATTACAGCGCTCCGAGTGACTTCAAGTTTATTTAACTAGAAATACATACACAAAGTTTAACCTGGACTTGACAGCGAGCGGCTGCTAGACGCAATTTTTCTCTGCACAAACAGTGCTGGCGGTTTTACTGTATTAACAGTACATTTACGATGTTTTTTTTTATAGAACAGGGGGACGAACTTCAATCTTTAAATTAAGTATTTTTTTAGTACGTCGATAGTGATTACATCGGAAGGATGTTCAAATTAATAAAACATTTTGTTCAAAGCTATTCAGATAGGGATCTGAACCATTAAAGATAGTTGAAATGCAATCTCGAGTAGAGATCGTTGATTCGAGATCTCGTAGAATAGAGAATTTCAATCTCGATGTAAAAAGTTTTTTTCTTATATATGGACACTCACATTGCCAGAAGGCTCGCAAGTGCGTCGCCGGCCTTTTAAGAATAGCTACGTTCTTTTGGTATGAATTGGTTTGGAAATACTTCAACCAGCTACCGGTTCCACATGCGGTACGCGGCAAAAACTGCCTTAAAAAACGCAAAGTCAACGTGATACGGGTGGAATTTCGAACTCTGCCTCGACGTCCAATGATGAAACTCAGCTGAAGGTATTAATCCGAACAACTCCTTTCAACACTCTTCATGGTAAAAGCGGTACAAGATGCAGGGAGACCGCACATCTCTACGCAACGCTAAGAGATCAAGCAGTCTACCGTTTAACTGTAACCCGCTGTTCTATTTTAAGAGATCTAGTTGCTGGGTACAATCGATTACGACGTCCCACTTGAGACGCGTACAAAGGCTCTAACATTGTTTTAAGTAGGTACATACTTAAGTACCGTATAAAGAACATTTTATGTCTATTTTGTTTTTAAACTATCATTTAAGAACGTATTTAATTATTTATAAATTACTAAATAAAAACACGATAATTTAACCCAATTTTCATATTAGTGAGAGAGTAAGAATTCAAAATTTTACTCCTGACGTTAGGCGTAATTTAGGTTTTAATGTTTATGGGTAGGGTCACGGGTCAATGTCAGTCGAAATAAATGTGGATGGCTAATACAGCCAACACGTGACTAAGCTGGCTGTCAACTATGCTAGGTTTCGCGTGTCGAGCTTGCCATTAAGAAAGAAAAACCAAATAATCACGAAACAGCCCTGCGATTCTGTAACTCACTTTTCGAACTCACACAGCGGTTTTCGCATCGGCGGTCGCTCTCAAATCAGTCGTGAAGCAGTCATTTTATGATTTGGCATTCTAATAATATATAAACTACAAGCTCCCACCTTTACAGAATGCCAAATCATAAAATGACTGCTTCACGACTGATTTGAGAGCGACCGTCGATGCGAAATCCGCTGTGTAAGTTACAGAATCACAGGGCAGGTACAGAAATCTCAGGCTTGAAAGGTTGTAGCGCCACTGGATCTTTTAAATCACTACCGGCCACTCAAACTAATTCAATAATTTAACAATTTCTTGAACGCTTTAAGATTTTAGAAGTTTTAAAAGTTTAAAGATTAAGTTCCCCATCTAATCTTAAAATTTGGTAAAAGTATTGTACACTTCGTTTGGTCTTAGACAATTATGAAGGTCTTCACACAAAACATTCCATAACTAATCAATACCATTTCTAAGCAGCAACGGAATTTACTAAACAATTATTAATCTACCTACACTTAATGGACGAATCTGAGTACGATTATAATGTATAGTGAAACAATAGCACTTTATTAACATCACAATAAAACAACAACAAAATACAATAAAAGACGAAGGATGCCTTACTGCTAAAAGCACTCCAGATAACTCAGGTATAAAAAAGCAGAAGACACAACTTTAAAGAACACAGCAATCAAACTCAACCACTTAATATAACCTTGCATTAAAATACAAATAGTTTTATTCATAGAATATTATTAATTGTTTCTTAGACATATGTTTACTTTAGTAGTTATTAGGCAATTAAACACCTGTTAAAGATTTGTTTGTAAATCGTTTCACTCTCATATAAAAATCACAGAAAACTACGGTACATTACTTTTTATATCTATTTGTTGCAATTACAAGTCACTGTTCTTGTAGTGTTTCACGACTCACTAATAACTAGAAGAAGCCAAGAGCTCACGTAAGTCAACGACATCTTGATGTCTCTATATATTCGGAACAATACTATTCTTAATATAAATTTGTTCTAATTATTTTCAACGTGGGCTTACGTTAGACGGACGTTCTGTAAACCCGTTTTATTAATTGCATTATAAATAAACTAAGAGTACAAAGACATCAAACCACTTAGAGGTTTAACCTTTTAACCTTGGGCTGAAATAAATTACACAGCGAGGAAATGCTGTCAGCATTAAAGGTACACTGCAGGGACCAAAGTTTTAACTAACAAATTTTTATTTATCCATATTTAATTATGACTATTACAATGCAGGTTTAAAGAATAATTAAAATAACTCCTTTTGTAAAACGTTACGATGCTGGGACGGAACGATGCTGGAACGGGGATTGAATTACGCGTTATTGTTAATATTATTTTGTACATACACCACATAATAGTAACTAAAGAGTCACTAGGTGGTCATGAAACGTTTAACTGGACTTGGATACAGTACTGTACTTGGGTGCTGAAAAACGTTACGGCGAGTTCATGGGGGGGGGGGTCAATAATCTCCAAAAATTGCGTTACGTAATACTTGAACGCTCCCTTAGGCCCAAGTTCGACTCCCGTACCTGGCAAATTTATGACATAAAATACATCACTGAACAGTTGTATTCCCCAAAATAGCATCTATGCTAAAGTTTATCAAACTTTATTCACGCGTTACACAACAAACAAACATACATTCGTGTTAGCGACGATTTTAATATAAATCCGCCGACGCATCTTTTCGAACAGTTATGGCCCATGCTAAAAATACTCTTATAATCCCGTTCCATTTAACGTTCGCCTATTGAAATGTAAACACAAAGTATGCTGTTTTTAGTTCGTATTTTATATTCCAGTTTATACAAACACGATACGGTGAAGAAATCGTTTGGAATGCCCTAATTTCCAACGGAGCGGGGGAAAATCTCATACTTATGTAACCAATGTAAGTATGTAAAGACAGTATAAACTATACATACAGATTTATATTACTGGAACAATTGTAGGATAAAACTGTTACAATGAATACCAAAAAGGCTGTATTTATAATCGTCTATGTATATATCATAGACAGTCATTAGTATGACTGAATTATAGAAAAACAATTTTGGTTAAATAGTATTGTCTTTGATTAACATAACTTTTATTCATTTAATAAAACACTATTTGGAAAACGGATTGAAGTTATGTATTATTATAAATTTACAACTATTTAAAATTATGTTAAATAGTTGTAAATTTATAATAATACATAACTTCAATCCGGTCAAAATAGTGTTTTATTATTTTGGTTAAAAATTACAAAGAAAGCGTGTTATATTTAATAAATAGTAGATGACATCCAAAGAGGCCAGGCATTACGCGCAAACTGGTATAATTAAATTGTAAAATAACATTAAATTATTTATGAACATTGATTAAAATTAACAATGAATTACATATGTTTATGTTTATTATGTTATACCCAGTGTTTAAATACGTTTTAAAATCCCATATGAGACGGGGATAGGTAGAAATCTAAAGACAAGAGTTTCTTTTACTTTATCAATCCTATCAAGTACACGA